ATAGAGGCCGCTCTTAGTTGCACAGCGGTCATAACCTAGAGTTTTGACGCACGTATCGTTGTTTTCGCCAGTTGCGTTGGATCATACGAGCAGCATTGCCGAGCCTGGTGTCCAAAATATTCTTTCGCAGCAGGAAGCCCTTTGCGGCAGCTTCGAACTTGATGACAGAGTTGCGGATGATGTGGAACTGCTTGCGGTCCTTGCTTCCACGCCACACTCGTTGTATGGTGGTCGCAGCCTTGACTTGCCTGGCCTCTTCAGTACGCTCTCTGGTCATGTACCCTCTTGCAAGGGCTTGAACAGAGATAATAGCCTCGCGCATTTCCAAATAGATGCGGCGGTAGTACTTGGCACGAAGGTTCTTCTGAATCATGACGGCAGCATCATTAAGCCTGGCAGTTCGCAAGTTCTCCAAGAAAGCAAGCATGCCAGCTCGGAAGAAGATCTTCGTCAAACCCATCTGGTACTTGTCTGTACCATCGTTTTTTCCGGCGCCTAGGGCCTTCTTCAAGATTGCGGTAGCCATGTTTCGGATCTCGGGAGTCCATTCGTTCGATCGCACCAACATGTAGTAACGTAGAGCAAACTCCTCGTACGTCCATCGGGTTGGGTAACCAGCACAACTGATTCTGACGGTCTCAAGAACACCACAAGCTCGCAATTGACTAAGAACCATGGGCCCATCGAACTGCCAAGCCGCTTTCGCCTCGTTGGGCTTGATACATCTGATGTAGTGGACATCGGTCGAGCTGATGGTCTGCATGAGCTCAATCAGAGAAGACTTGAAGATGCCTCCCAGCGTGGGTTTCCTGTTGACGGCAATCCTACGGCCGGCAGATACTGCAGCACCTGGCTTGGTTGAGCTGGTGTGAGCAGTCTCCTTCTCACGGATTTGACTAGCCACGTCCAAGACCTCGGTCAAGAGCTTGTTACTCGAGGCCTTGAGAACCTCCATGTGTTCGTCAGGAACAGTGTCTCTGTTCTTCTCAATGAAGCCGTCCGATTCGTACGTGACGTCAATAGCGTAATGGCAGACTGTAAAGGAAGATTTTCCAAATCGCGGCTTCTTGTAGAACTTGTGCTTGTCGCCAGAGAAGTTGTGATGTAGCTTGGTTACAAACTGCTCATCGGAGCCCATGGGAAGACGAGACTCTTCATCAAGTAGAGAGAGAATGCCCATCTTGCCCTCGATGAGGTCAATACATGGCTGATTGTCGGCAAAGTCGATGAAGGTCCAGTCAATCTTTTCGCGCATGTATTCTTCCTGTTCGAGCTTGAACACATGAGCGTTAAATTCTTGTTGCAGCTTTTCGTTGGCGTAGTTGATACAGAACTGTTCAAAAGAGTTCTTAGCGAAGTGCTCAAACCCATAAATATCGAGCACACCAATAAAGGTATGGGCTGCTGCGAGGACTGCTTCCGTGGCAAGACTCTCGTTGGTCCGTTCGACCAACCAGTCGAATAGACTAGAGTAGATAAACTTGGCGACTGAGTCTCGGACAACAATGGCCTGTTGCTGCGTGAGGTTGGACACAATCTTCTCTCCTCTGGTAATCAGTTGCTTCTTTACAATCCACTTGGCAAAGGTATTGGCATCAATGCCGAGTAGTTGACAAGCCTTGACTAGGGAGGGCTCGTCTGGCGCTAGATTCGAGTCGGTCCGTGTCGCAGTGATTTTGACGTCTCCCATGTGCAAGAGCGCTCCCAAGATGCGCCAGATACCAGACTGAGTTTCTGCCGATACACCAATCTTGGTCAAGGAGTCTCTTGTGGCTTTGAACTCGGCAACATCGTCCATTCCATCGATGACGGGTGCGCTACCTTGATTGAGATAGTTGAACTCTTCGACAGACTTTAGTGCGAGCTCTGTGCGCTCGGCATCCGTCGCACCAGCGACGAGCTGGTAGAAGATGTGGTAGTTCCGCTCCTTAAGCGGTTGAAACACCAGTCTTGACCGTTCCAGCAGGTATGTCCTTATCTTGGCGCCAATAATGTCCGTCTGCTTGTTGAACATGATTTCGATGTATTTACCGAACCGGGAGGAGTTGTCGTTTCGCGTGGTTTTCGCGTTACCAAAGGCTTCCATGATGGGATTGGTGGCGAGAATCTGCTCTTCCGTCTCACTCATGGCATCGGCCTTGCCTCTCCGCTTTCCAGGGTTGTCTGGAGACTCGCGGGTTGCAAAGTATCGCATAATGTATTTGGCGCTGACGGTTTTACCAGCTCCAGACTCTCCAGAGACGACCACTGTCTGGTTCTTCTGGTCGCGTAACATGTCACTGGAGCCATGTCAGTAAGGTATTGCGTATGGCTGTGGAGCGCTGGAGTGATGGCACGGGCATGCTTACGCAAAGGCTTCTTCTGCAATGGCGAACAAATGCGGCGCGCCATAAGATCTTTGCTTGCCAGCATAGACCTGTACCATGCCAGGTACGTAGAGTGAATCGACTCGGGCGAAGGGGTTCGTAGCGATGAGAACGATACCAGAGTAGGTGTAGATTTCTTTTTGCAAGTAGCGCAACTTGATAGCCTGGAGTACTGTCTGGCTGTCAGTGCACCGTTCTGAGTTGTATGTAGAGAGCAGGTCTCGCACCAGCCGGCTCATTCAAATGGGACAAATTCGTCAGGTCGTCGCTGGCCTCCAGCATCGCTGGGTTCATCAACGGAGGCAGATTCGGGTCGTTGCCAGTCTGGATGCTGTCCAGCGTTGTCTCGATGGTTTTGGTCTGCGCATTGTTCTCATTAGCCGTGACTCCTTTGCTGCTGCTGCTGCTGTTGTTGTTGTGGCTGCTACTGCCATGGCTGCTGCGTACCTCGCCATTGTCCAGCTTGAAGACCAGCGTGACCTTTTCGCCTGCAATCTGCTTGTCCACAACCTCCGAGGCGACCCAGCCCTCGGTCGTGTCTGGCTGCCATGCTCGCGTTCCAATGTCGTAGATGTGCGCCATGGTGGATGGTGATTTGTCTTGTCTTTCCCCCTCTTGCACGGGTTGCGCTGTCGGGCCAGGGTCCAAGGGCCTCTCTCTTCTGGTGGGCGGTCAAGAGACACTCGTAGTGGGCCGTTCCCGCCTTGCTTTTTTCCGTGATGCAACAACACAAGTCGGTGGGGAATGTCGATTTGCTTTCTCAGCGTTGGGTTCTCGCTGCGGTCACAGTGCTAGATGCATCCCTCTGCACTCACACATACACACAAACACAACAGTGGAAAGCAAAAAACAAAAAAACAGGCGCCGTGTCGTAGGTAGACAGGTAGGGAGGGAGGAGAAGGGAGAGGGGGCCGGGAAGCGGAAGAGTGCTGGCCTCTCTTTTGGTGTTGGTGGGCAGGTGGAGGGTCGACTTTCTGTGGTCGCGCTACGTTACTCACCGCCAACATCCCGCCTCTAGCACGAGCCAGGGGCCAGCCAACCACCACCCGCGTCTCACCTCGCAGCAACGCATGCACCCTCCTTCGAGCCTGCATCCGAAGAGCCTTTTTGCTTGCCTTGCAGACCGTTCACGTCTGTAGCCCTTCTCAACGAACCTGATGTTCGCTAGCCTACTGTCGTCTCTACGGTGCCTGCGGACAACAGCAATGCGCTGTTGTTGCCTCGAACCCAAAACATGTCCCCCAGCATTCTTACTCGCCTTGCCCCACCATGTGAGCCTGTGAGGTGGAGATGCCCTGTACCCAGAGCGCCACCAGGTAACGTGGGTATACTTGCCCGACATTTGACGAGGAAGATATGCATCCTCCTAGTATACAGGATGATCATCATCTTCACTGCTGCCTTCACCTCGACACGCTTGCACATGACGCATGTGTAATGGGATACCGTATACCTAGGCATCGGCATCTAGCCAAGGTCGCTTGTTCATGGCAGGTAGGTAACTTGCACTGCTCATTACAAACAACCATGGGGGTATTTGTCTTTTGGCGTATGAATCCAGCATCCCCCTCCCAACGACAGTGGACAAAGACATTCGAGGACGTTGCTACAGAGTTGTGACTATGCCACCATGGCCTTCATGTCGGTTTCATAACGGGGTCGTGCCCTGTTCATGCAAGAACGGTCACGTGATCCACTGGTAGTGCATGTGGCTGCCCCTCTACCCTCTCAGCCGCCATTGGCTCCCTTCACAGTGGATATCTTGTAAGCATTCACCGCATTCCCCCTTTCCAGTCCCATCCACTGTCAACATCAGGCGATATGCCTCCTGGCGGAATTTCATGCTGTACGTGCAAACATATTTACAAACATCCCCTATTTCTCATATATGAACACCACAATTCTCACTTGTTTCAATACCTCTCTCTTCTTCATCGCAGAAACTGGCCGATCTATTCATGTTCAACTCAAACAAAGGAATGACTACCTCCTCATACATGTTTTGCGGTGGGTCTACCCTCGGCCAAAAGACTTATCATGTACCCACATGAGATCTCCCTTCTCCAAGTTTCACCAACCAAACCCTTTCGCCGTAAGGTCGCTTTGAAACGTACTTATCGAAACAAAGCCTGCATATAAAGCAGCCACACTCTATCCTGACCACACTCAATCTATCACTCTACGCCTTTATGAAGGTCTTTCCCGAAGTAGAAGACGCAAATTGCATGGCTCTGCGTGCAGCCAAAAAACCCAATCATAGTAAACAATGACTTGGAACAGTTTCTGAGCTTCATGTTCTTTCTCAGGCCGAAGACTGGCTGTGCTCTATTCGGGGTATGGACTGTATAAAAGCCACTCCACTATCCCACCACTCTCCACGACTTTCTCATACCCACATCTTCTCTCCGCTTGCTGCTGCTGAAAGCCGAGACGGAAATGACGAATATGCGATTCCTCACTGAGAAGTTAAAAGCCTATGTTTGTGCAGCCATATCCATGATCCAAAAAGCTTTTATCAGACCTATCATGTCTACACTCAGATTCCAAAATCCACCCAGTTCACATTTATTCCACGCAATATTCTCTCAAAACAAAACCAGCAAAGCACACGCCTACAAACCCCCCTCCCACTTCTCGTGCCCGATCCTCTCCTACACCACACGTCTTCCTGCCTTGTCTCCAAATCAGCGAATCCTTCTACTCATGCTGCGCTTTGTCGTGTCTCAAAAGTCATTACCCTCCAATTGATGGTGCTGGTGTGTAACTCTGCCACATGGGTATTGTTTTCATCAAAAGCCCAAGATCAAAGGAACATGTGTGCAAGCTTGCATCTGAGATCGAGCCTAGGGCAGTGTACTTTCAAGAACACAAAGGGAGATGCATGTTTTGTTCCTCGAAAGGGGTACTAGTATTTTAAAAACCAACCAAGCCATGCATGCAATCACACACCACCCATCAGGCCATCAGCATGAATTTCAAAAATTACAAGAAAAGCTTCAATACGGCATCATAGTAGCCCGAGGATGTTCAAAGTGTACATCTGCATGAAGCTCGAAAATAAACTCTACAGAATATACTTGGAGCAACATTGACCAGTTCTCTACTTTGTCCGAAAACTGTCATTGGCCTATAAAGCCATCTAAATGTCTAAATCAAATGATTTTGCAAAATTCATCTTCACTCAATTCACATCCCCCCTACCCTTCCCCCACTCTCTTCACTGAAGTTTCGCCACCAAAGAAGAATTAACCCACCGCCCCAATACCTGTTCCTAGTCAAGAAAAATCATGGTTGTCTAGCTATTGTGGGATACGGGCTAATGACGTTAACCCCACGTACTCAGCTTTCATTTTATATGACGACCAAGTCTTTTTTTTTTGTTAGACCTTGTTATACTTTTGTGGTCTGTCGCAAACGGCATGGTATGTAGCTGACTGACTCTGAGTAGACATGCATGGCTTGCACTTTTCTTGAAAGGGTATCACCCTCAATAACACCTGTGACGTTGGTGCGAGGGAAGGGTTGGTAGTCTTTAAAAGGCATTGTATTCACACCACAAGAGTCATGTAGTCTTTAAAAGGCATTGTATTCACACCACAAGAGTCATGCCCAGAACCCAAATGTTTCAAAAGCTCATTCTTCTTACACTTAGATATCAACCTCTCACTTCGCCTCCACATCCACCTCCCCCCTAACATGCCGTGCCCGCACTCCCCTCACGCCGTGATACATCTGATCCGCATCGCCTACCCCAGGCTCCTCCACAAACAAGCCATACTCTATACTCGTAGCCACGAGTCCCGCGCGGCCATATAACTCGTTTTCCAAATCCTCGGTATACGCACGAATCAGTTGTTGCTCGGCAAGACCCGTCTTCTTCTTCGCCGCCTTGGCCATGGCAAAAGCCGCGCGCAGGGGCGTCATTGTGTACCCGGTTTGCACGAGCGTGGACTTGCATTGGGCGTGTTGCCAGACAATGTAGAGGCTGGTGCACCAGCCGAATGTGAGGAAGATGAAGAGGCCGGACATCATGGTTGCGAAACCCCATTTGTACGAGGGGTTGGCGGTGTCGGGGAGGCAGCGGGTTCGGTCTTCAAAGTAGGTGTAGTCGTATGCCACATCGCCGTAGCAATACCCGCTTTCGGATTTCAGAGTGGCGTAGTCGTACTTTTGGCCATTGATTTCAATGTCCATGCTCGCATTGCCTGGTCGTTCTGCGTGATTAGCTTGGGTGGGTCTGATCCAGTCCTTTGTTTTCATTGCTCGTGCTTACAGTTGCGCTGCCGAGACCCGGACTCTAGGGTTTGATCATAACTATCCGACCAGTAGGGATCGTAAGTGAAGGTTTGCATGTTACCTGGAAAGTCATATATGCCTAATTTTCAATTAGCCCATTGCTGGCATGAAGATGTCAGCTGACTTGCATTGACCCAAATCTCCCTTGTAATAGCTTTGGAAATATTTTTGCGCGGCGATCATTGTCCCATTGGCAAGCTGGCAATCACCTGGAATCAAGTTTTAGAGAAGAGATGCATCATATCGTATCACAGGGAATACTTACACCGGCCAAATCGGGCAGTATCCATCTGCCGGGCTTTGTCAACGACTGACCAGTCTACGCAGGCTGGATGCTTGAATGTCTCGTTCTTCGTACCCAAAGCTACCCACGAAGGCTTGATCAAAGAGGCCGGGACGATGTTGTTGGAGTCGTCGAGGTTTATCCAGGGAATGTTTGTGCTGTCATAACCAGTCATGGCTCCAAGGAAGATAGGAACCATGAGGACGTACAAGGTGGCTACGAACATGTAAGAAAAGAGAAATTTCGTCCTAGTATCGTTTCGTGTGAACAACTCCTTGGTTAACGTCCATAATGAGTCCAGACTCGGGCCCTCAAGTGCGATTCGTTGGAAGATGCGAAACGATGCTGGCTGTCGCTCGATCACAAGTAGCAGTGCGTCGCAAAACGCCTTGTAGGCGGCCCATGAAGCGCATATTTGAAAGCCTATATTTCCAAAATCAGTCCCAAATAGTCAAGCGCCAAGAGCAACGATTACCTCGTCCGATGAAGAGATCCCAGATGACGTCAATCGTCTTGACTGCCGCAAAAGAATACCGTCCAAACGTAACATCTAACACAAACAACTTTTGAATGCCAGATGCAGTTGCATTCTGGGGCGAGCCGAGACTTTGCCCACAGCCCATGATCTTATCCGAAAAGACCTGTTGATAGGGACTATAGCCCGGGCCTCCAGATGTAAAGACACCAAGTAGTACCATAGGCAAAAGCCCAAAGACCGCAAGTAATGCTAAAGCGAAGCATTGTCCCCGCGAGGATCGAAATTTCTTGAAGGCCGCCCAGATAGTGTCGCGCGAGCAAGTATAGCCAGCCTTGAATCCTTTATCCGTTGCCTTCGTGGTAGGCTTTGAGGGGGTATTCCAACCATCGCCTCTAGCCCATATCCATCTCGACTTTGGTTTCCAGAAAACAGCACCCCAATTCCGTTTCTTTCCTGGACTCGGCACGCTGTCATTGTCCCATGTCCCGCGATATGGTGGTGGTGTCGAACGATCCTCGGTCAGTGTGGGACTGATGGACAGCACAGTGATAGTCGTATTCTTGTCATTTTTCTTTTCTTCTTCGTCCATCATATCAGTCTTCCTGCAGGCAGCCGTACATGTGCCACGGGCGGTCCAAACAGGAAAGGTGGGCGGAACCGCGTTCGTGTAGGAAGCATTGAATGCGCAGTAGGAGACACATGGTTCCAGCTACACGGGCGAGTACCGGTACCTAGCCATAAGACCGGAAATAGGTTTATGGCAACCCCAAATGCGCCCCTGGATTGCCCTGAAGGCCTTTCCTTGGCTGCTCGGCATGGCGGAATTAACCATGTAGAAGGCGTACGAAGGACTCGACAGTTTACGAGACCCTTAACAGAATCGCCGAAAGGCCGTACCGGTATAGAAAGAGCAACGCGGATTGAAACGACGATCACGGACGTCTCCGCCAATGACTTCCTCTGAATTCAACGAGAAGAATTGTTTCAAAGGAAGGAAAATCAGGATACGAGAACATTTGTTTCACCACCAAACCCAATCCCAGCCACGAGCCTCCCATCCCTAAGCGCTGATCCCCAAAGGACGGCCCAGCAACAATTTCCAACAACATCCCAGGATCATGCCGCGCAGCGATACGTCCAAGCGGCATACCGCGCCGTACTGCTTACTGTACCGTACTGGGGTGGTAGGTGCGTGCCGTGAAGATGCGAAACAAAGCCATGGGGGGAAACTGCCGTCATCCGTGATGGATGTCAGACCTAGGGACCTAGACACATACCTACCGTACTATGTTAGTACTTGGGCGGTCGTGGGCCTACCGGTAGGGCGTCAACTGGAGAATCGAAAAGGGGAAGCTAGGACGTGCTTGAGCATTGGACGTGTTTTGGAAGTAATGACATTGGGTAATGTAGAAGTATTCCAATGCTACTATTACAACCTAGATTTTTTTTTCATTCACTGGTATCTTGTTGCTTACTGCGTCGTAGATTGCACGAAAAAAAGGCCCGAATGCGCATGGCAATCAGCTTGGAGAAGTGGCTGGGCAGATATTATACACCTACCATGACCAACCTGCCTACTATCATTACCTTTCATCGTCATGCCCGAGGCTACGCCAGTGGTGGCATGTCATATGACCATAGGTTTAGCGTCGGGCGACTTGGGCTTTACTCTAAGTGGTTAGAATATCCCTGTAGGTTCAAGTCCACGTCACAGCGGCAAATTTTTATAGTTATATAAACTAGCCTATAGTTAAGTATAAATTAGGGTAATTTAAGCAAGTAAACGTAGTTTTTATTACTATCTTTTTTAAATATATTCTAAACCTATTCTTAATAATATATAGGCGTTCCTAAATACTATACTAGAGTTTAGTATAGTAGTACTAGATAATATATCTAAATTAGATAGTAATATTAGAGATAAATTTAGGCAACTATATAAAGTGCTAGAGGAGGATAGTAGTAGTAGTATTAAGAAAGTAAGTAAAAGTAAATAGAATAAGTTTAGAATAGGTTAGTAATATATTATAGGGGTATAATATATACCTTACTTATAGTAATAGTTAAGGACTACTACTTATACTAGTAATTATTAAGTATATAGCTATTCTCCTAGTATACCCTTAATTATATAGCTAAGGGTATAGGTATATAATACTAGTTTAGCAATATAAAGATAGCTCTTACCTAATAAGAGAAGAGGTGCTTATATAGGCTATATAGGTAATATATTAAGAATATATTCTTAAATTATTCTAATTCTAGCAGGTATAATACTCCTGCTAGTCTATCTATCTTAATAGGCCTATAACTTTACTATTCTTTAATAGCTAGCTAGCAAGCTAGTATAAATACTAATACTCTAGGGTAGAAGTATATAAGTATCTTAAGAATATATTATAAATATATTCTTATTACATTATTAATAATATATTATATAATTAGATCTAAACCTTAAAAAGTGTAGTACCTAAGAAAATTCTATAAAGAGAACTATAAATAAGAAGCTATTATTATAGCCTTATTAAGCGCTTCTCTTTAAGCATTTATAAGGACTACTAGGTGTCTTATTATCCTATAATAAGGACTATAGTAAATTAAGTAGGGAGCAAAACTTAAATATATTTAAAATATATTAATAATAAGTTAGTAAATTATAGAATAGGCTTAATTATATATTAGCTATTAGAACTATAGCCTAATATCTACTACTAGGAAAAAATATTATTTTAGTTAGGTACTACTAGAGGTAGACTCTATATATCTATAAGGTCTTCTAACTAGGGAGATATTAAATCTTTCTAGTAGTCCTGCTTTATATTCTATAGTTAAGCTATAGTTAAGCTAAATAAAGAAGTGTAGTAGGTATATTACAACCTATTCCTAATATGTTCCTAACATATTCTAGGTGTTAATTATCTATAAGGGCAAGGATCTCTATTTAAAATCCTGTATAAAGTTACCTTCTAAGTAATTATACTAATAAATATAGTAGTAATACCTTTTTTTACTATTATTTCTTTTAGTATATATATATATATACCTCCTCCTCCCTTAACACTATCTAATAGTAATATTAAGGAAGTAGTAAAGGTGTTATAGCCTATACTTACTCTATAGCTTATATAATATAAGTTATTTGTAACCTATTATAAATATATTCCTAACTTATTATAGCCTAGTTCCTAAACTTAACCTAGCTCTAAACCTATCTCTAACTTAAAGGTTTCTATTCTATTAAAGAAATATATATTAGCTTTATAAATAAAGATAAAATCTTATATATTATAAAGCGTGAAAAGCTTCTATAGTTCCTATTTAAGAGTAGCCTTAGAGGAGTATACTATAAGTAGAGGATAAAGCATTAGGATCCTAAAACTATATATAGTATAAGAGAATAGGTTTAGAATATATTACTAATATATTACTATAGGCGTATATATAGCAAATCTTTATATTAAGCTTAGGTAACTTAATTATTTACCTTTTTAAAGAGTAGGTATTAATTCTATTAGATTAAGATATATTCTAGATAGATATATTATATAAGAGGTTATATAAGGCATAGGTAGAGATTCTAATAGTAATCTTCTACCTATAGAAAAAGAAGTATACGCATTAAGAATAGGTTAATAATATATTTCTAATATATTATAGTTATTACACTTAGCTAAATTATTATAGATAAGGATATAACTAAGATATATTAAGTTACTATTACTAACTTCTTTTAGAAGTATAAAGCACTTATAAAAAGATAAGTGTTATAGAGGTATATTTACTTATAGGGATTCTATAGGACTACTATTAATATATATAATAAGCAGATAATAGGCAAGTTTTATAGTGCACTATAACCTATTTATAACGTGTTTCTAACTTGTTTCTAGGACTTAGGCGCTATCTCTAGTTAATTAATCCCTATAAGTATAACTAGCACTAGTAACTTTAATCTTATATAAGATTTTATTAAGTATATCTATAAAGAAGTATTTATAAAGTATATAAAAGAGAGCTAGATAATACTACCTCTTTACGTCTAAGTAAATTACTATAGGTATTAATAGTAGAGGAATACTTTTAGCTTACTAACCTCCTCTTATATAAGTAAATATATTCTAAACCTATTCTAAATATATTCCTAACTTATTCTTATATAATTAGAATACAAACCCTCTAAAGATACCTAAAACTAGGTAATCTATAAGAAAAACCTAGTAATTACTACTAGGATTATATAATACTATAGTAAAATATTAAAAGAGGTATAGGAAAAACTAGAATCTTATTTAAATATAGCTAAGCAAGTAGGCTAGAAAGGATATAAAACTAGTAAGCATGTAAGTATTCTTAAGGCTACTTAGAAGTAAGTTTATAACCTATTCTTAACCTATTAGAATTATATAAGTAATATTATATAGTGTACACTAGATAGATCTATAGGATATAAAAGAGTTTAAAGCCTAGAGCAAGTTTAGAATACACTATAACTATAGAACTCCTAATAGGCTTAAGCAAAGGTACCTTAAAAAGCTTTAGAGGGGAGAAAGTAAGTCTTATACTAGTATTATACATATTTACTAATTAAAATATATTTAGAACGTGTTTAGAACGCGTCCTATAATAATAATAATACTCTAGATAATAATAAAGCAAGTCTTGCTATATCTAACTTAACTAGATATATCTTAGTCCTAATAAGAAATAAAAGAGCACGCTTAAAAGCCTAAAGCTAGAGGGTAAGTAGTAGAGTAGTATTAGAAAGAAGTTTACTAGCCCCTTTTCTATCTTCTCTACTACTAGGCTCTTCTCCTTTACTAATAGCAACCTAAAGGTATACTTTATAAAACACGTTTATAATATATTCCTAACTTATTATTAGTCTATAACTATAAACTTTATAATAAAAGGCTCTTCTTAGTAATTAGGCTCTAAAGGAGAGAAAAGAAAAGCTAGAGGTAGATAAGGAAGAACTTATATAGAAAAAGGTACTATTTAAATTATAAAAGGTATAGTTTAAACTTAAGAAAGAGATAGCTACTTTTTATATAAGGCAGGGTTAGTCTATAAATATAGTAACTAGTTCCTAACTAGTTCTTAATATATTCTAGTCTATTATATAAGTATATATAAGTAGATAAATATATATTCTTTCTTCTTCTCTTTCTTCTTCTTTCTTCTTACACTCTATAAGAACTTTTTATATTTAAGAGTTTAATACTAGTTCTTACTATCATATCTTTTCTAATATTATTAGATATAACTAGTTAATATAGTCTATAAAGATCTTTTAAAGTTAGTATATAATAGAATGCGTTAGGAATATATTATAAACTTATTCTAATACTAAGTAGGATTTATACTAGTAATATATTAAGCTTAAGTTACTTCTATCTAATACTAGGGTATTCTCTCCTATAATATCCTACCTAAATAAAGGGTGTATAGTATTTCCTAGTAAGCTTTTTTACTAGGCTATTTAGGCTAGATTAGGGGTATAGGAACTTTATAGAGTATATATATATATAAGTTAGAATATATTTATAATATATTAATAACTATTTTAGCGTTACTTCTCTAATAGAGGCAATCTTATCTACTACCTTAAAAGGTATTATCCTAAGGTTTAAATAGCCCTAGTAAACTATAGTAGAATTATAATATAAGGTATTATAGAAGTAAGGATCTTCTATAGGAGCTTAATAGTAAATACTTAAGAACGTGTTCTAAACACGTTAATAATACGTTCTCTACTAGTAAAGTAGACTATACTAAGTGCCTCCTCTAAGGTTTAAGAACCCTCTAAGATAGCTAGTCTATAATAAGAAGTAGTAGCTAGAGTAGAGGCTAAAGAGGAAGTAGAGAGTAAAGAAGAGGAGTAAATAGTTGCTCCTCTTTACACTATAAATAATATTTAGTAAAAGTAGTAAAAAGGAGATATAAGTCTAGTCTTTTAAAATATATTTAGAATATATTAATAATATATTATAGCTAGATACTTATAAATACTAGATTCTTCTTTAATCTAAGGGACTACTAGAGCTTTATAATACTTATAAAAGTAAAAAGAAAAAGTTATATACTATTAAAGGACCCTATAAAAGTAAATAGTACTTTACTTTTAGTAGATAAAAAAAAAAAAAAGAAGAGTAGAGAGTTTATTTTAGTAATTACTACTACCCCTTTAGGTTATATACTATTATATATTATTTATTAGAACTTATTCTTAATATATTCTTAATATATTCCTACTTATTACTATTATTATCTCCCTCCCCCTTTCTAGTATCTTCTCTATCCTCCCTATCCTCCCTAGGCTCTATAAAAGCATACCACAAGTAGAACTAGGTAGTATTCTAGCAAGAATTAGCAAGGTCTATACTAGTATTAAAGTAATAGTCTTAAAATATATTAGGAATAGGTTAATAATATATTATAAATAACTTACTATAGCTAGGATAATTATAAGTATAGATAGTATAAGGAACCTAATAACCTTAAATCCTTAGTAGGGTAAATATAGTAATAAAGTTAAGCTATAATAAGTTAGTAATATATTTTTAATAGGTTCTTATAGGCTATACTTTATTACTATTATAGCTAGTATAAGTCTTCTTCTAAATTATATTTAAGAGGGTATTAGTATTTATAGGGGGGCCTATAGTAGCTACTAGCTAGGCTTAGAGAACTTCTATAAAATAAGTTAGTAATAAGTTTTAAATATATTCTAAATAACTTATAGTAAGAAGTATTCTAGTAATTATATATAATCTTTATATAAAAGTCTATATATATTAGTATAATAAGTTAAGAATAGGTTAATAATATATTTACTCTTTACCTTATAGACCTCCCTTATAAAGGGCTAGCTAGTTTTCTTAACCCTACTAACCTTATAGTAAGCTATATTAAGCTTATAATCTTTTTTAGTATAGGTATATAGAGTGCCCCTAGTACCTAGAATAGCCTAAGAATATTAGAACCTATTTAGAATATATTTAGAACCTATTCTTACTCTATATAAGGTGCCCTTATTATTAATCTTAGTATAGTAGTAGCGCTCTCTACTCTCTATCTTAACTACCCTATTAGGGCTAACTATAGGCTATACCCTAATATTATCTAGAATATAGCTAAAGGCAAGGTACTATTAATAGTGCTTCTATAACCTATTAAGAATATATTCTAAATATATTTTAATCTACTTATATAGGATATAAGGGATATATTAGTAATAGGTATAGTAATAGTAGCTTATAGTATTACTAGTATAGAATATATTTAGAATAGGTTTAGAATATATTATAAAATCTTATAGTATAATATTTAGTTAACCTCGCTTAGCTAGCTAGTAAAGCTTGGCATAGCCTAACCCTATGCTAAATACGAGTTCACGCAGCGCTAATTCCATGGTCATATGAACTGCGCCCTCGCTACGCCATGTTGTCAATAGAGCAACAAACTGCCCATAGCCCGCGCACAATCACCCAATAACCTCAGAACATGGCAAGATTACTAGAATATTTGGATAACGGACGCGCTATATAGTAAGACTTCCATTCATATTCTTCGTTAAAAATAAGAGGACCACCGTTAGCCATATCAAGTCACCATTCCAGTGACATCGTAACAAGGGTTGGGAATCAACTGTACCCGAAATTTCGCAGCGCACGTCGAGTCGAGGGGTAGATACAAAGACTAAGCCTTGGGCTCGATGCTGCTTGCCTGAACGGCCTCTGCCATCTTCTTCTTACTCATGAGCCTGAATCCGCCGACCATCATGAAAAGCGCGAGAGAACCTAGGACAACAGCCAAAGTGACAAAGGCACCAATTACACCACCAACAGTTGGGCTCATACCATTTGCTCTACCATTGCTGCTCTGGATAAAAATATTGTCCCTGGCATAAGCAGCACAAATGCCTGTCGAGTTACCACATTTGGTGCACCACTGCTCGGTGTTGGTGATGGCGAATTGGTTCAAGCTGTTCTGGAAGTCTGCCCATGACACGGTTTCAGACGAGCCGCCAAAGAGAGGGTATGCAGTGGGCTCGCTGGTATTGGAAGCGGTACCGTTATGGAACAGGAAGCGGATACTCAGGTCGTTCTCACTGGGGAACCCGTTCGAGACGTCAGCCTCAGTGATGAGTTCAAAAGACATGGAGCTAGCGTAGTCGACAACGCCAGTGAAGTCGTCGCTGACCTTGGGGAGGTCGACAAGGCCGAAGAAAGAGAGGAAAGTGGCATAGGGGCCAAATTGAATGCCCAACTTCTGAGCACCGTTGCCAGAGATGAGGGCCTCCATGTATTTCAGGATTTCTCCGGCAAGTTGCATACCTGCGACTGCACGAATATTGTCGGTGGCATTGTAGGCGAGACCCCATCTCATGTGCATTTGCAAGAGTGCGCAGCTCAACGAGCGCCGAGTCGGTGAGGGTTTCGTTGTTCGGGATAGAAGAGTTGTGGATCGTGGCAACATTGAGCACATCGTAGACTATGAAACGGTTAATGAACAGTTGACGTTTGTAAGGGGGAACAAGTTACTTACCGATATAGCCATTCTTGTAAGTGACCTGATCTTCACTGATCACGTTGTTGATGGAAGGAACAAGAGAGGAGTAAAAGTCCTTGGTCCTGGATGCGATAGCATTGTACTCTTCGCTGTTGAAGTAGTTGTTCGAGCTGGTCTTTGCATTTTGGCAGCTCGAAGCATCTTGCAGCCAGCCCGCGTCCTCTGAACCAGCACCGGTCTCAATCGTGTTGACGGGGATCAATTGGTAGCCGTCCATGGGTGCTTGTACACTCTGACCGTTACCAAGAGTCTGCACGGTCTGAACAGGAGGGTAGAGCCCCTGCAAGAAAGCTGTAGCTGAGTTCTGTAGGACATTGTCGACGGGGGACATCACAGAAAGCTGTGAGAGCTTGACGATGTCCTCGTTGATACCATTGATCTTAGAGCTGCCTTCTAGATAGCGCGAGCGGTAGTACGAGCCGGACGTATAGACCTGCTCGTAGCCGAGAGCAGTCAGGTTGGTGGGAGCGAGTGCTTTGGGTGTTCGATCGCCATGTCTGTGGAAAATGTAGGCCCCCAGAACGGTCTCAGCAGCCTCGGTGCCAGCGAGCATGGAAAGAGCGGAAAGAGCGACTGCGGACCTCATCATTGCGATTGAGAGCCTTGCAGCGATTTTGAATGCGAATTGAGGGTGCGGGATTGCTACAATCACTCACAATCGACGGCGAAGGTCGGAAGTAAACAGAGGCGGAACCACTTTTGGATCCATTGATTTACGGAGACATCCAGCCTCTTATACCCAGGTCTCGCAGAAGCACCGCGCCGAGGAAATGTAGAAAACTTGACGCTTGTTGATAGCAACACAAATTCGCCCAATCCCGCGTGAGAAGGGCGTCTATCTGGCGGGGCATCTCTGACAAACATAGCTGCTTTCCGAAAGTCGGGAGGGGCAGTATGAAGTGGGGTTAGACCAGCGGGACAAGCTTTTCCGTTCGCGGGTAGAGTGTTACGGCCAGGGTCAACTGTGACTGGATGAGCGTCTGGGTGGTGGTATGACCATGATCAGCTGTCCCTAGATGAGCGTACGGGTGGAATCATCTATTCCCATGATTTCAATGCATCAGACAAGTGCAAGTATGACGACGGTGCGATGCGGTGCATGCCTGTCAGTCTTCGCTGGCGTACAGAATCTCGCAGACCCCACCGATTGGAACGTCCATGACGGCGTCGGTACCTGTGCTCCAAAATCCTTTCCAATCCACGTCGTCAGACGCCTCAAATCGATACCTTGAAAACGAGTCGCTACGATGGAGGGCGGATGAAGCTTTTTCCTTATCCTTGTCGTGGAGTTTGTCGGTGACCAGGACCGGGTCGCGCACAATTTGGCCAGTGGTCCTGTCTACCACGGCGATCTGAGCGCATTCGTCGACTAGGTTCTCGCAGCTGCTCAAGGGCAATGTAAGATAGCGCGTGTTGTAGCTTGCGAGAGCAACGTAGATGTAGATGACCAGTACTACCAACCAGCAGGGAACGGCCAGGGCCCACCATCTGTTCGGGTAGTAGTGGATGCCCATTTGGTGCAGCAATGGAGCCGGTACATATGCCCACAGAATGTACATGAGAAAGGCAGCGGAGCTTCCCAGGTATAGCGCGAAGCCATAATACTCGTAGGTTGGTACTTTGGGAGACGCCCGTGGAACTGTTGGGGCAAGACGTGCAGAGTTGACTAGGTTCGCTGCGTTGGCGCCAGGTGTGCTGCTGCCATGAGCACGCTGTCCTGCCTGTGCAGGCGATTCGACGTCTGATGATTCGGGTGTTGTGGGTCTCGATGAGGCGAACGGTGGGCGAAGCAGCGAGGTCAAGGACGGCGAGGGTGGTAGAGGGGTCGGCGGACGATTATAGAAGGGTGGGAAGAGCGCGGTGGCCGTGTGTTGTGGGAGATGAGTGTGGGAGCGTGAAGTGTAGAGGGGTCGAGAGGTAGGAGGACTGGTCTCTTCGCCCTCTTCACTCTCAGACTCAGACTCGTCTATGGCAAGGGTGTCTTGATCCTCCTCCTGGCTGTCCTCGGCAGACGCTGCTCCCGATAGAGCGCTGTTGGGTACCGGCGAGCGAGGGCCCAGCTCGGGGCCGCGCGCAGAAGGGGGTTCAGGTGCAATGTAGCCAGCATCATGATGTTCTCGCTGTCGTCTCGCGGCCTCTACAGAGTGCAATGTCGGGAGATTGGGGGTTGATTTGGACTGGAAGCCCGGTGGCACATGGCTACCTCTGCTCTGGGGAGGCATATGGTTTATCAAGTTTATTAGATGAACTGGCAGCCGAACGAGTGTGCCGTGTTCGGTGCGTGCAGGAGAACAGGCAGTTGTTGCGTGCTTCGCGTCTGCAATCGCGTCATTGGACTTGGCTGTTCGACTAGGTATGGCCAATTTGGTGAACGCATGTTCGCGCCAAGGGACAGAGATGCCGAGGCCGCGGGGCTTATCGATAAGACACCTCGATGCGCACGATGGAATCAAGGATGGATTTGAGAGTTGTACAAGCAGCCAAGTTCGGATGAAGATGGTTTTGCGATTGATTGACAATCTGCCAGTCACGAAGAGAGGATGCTGACCAGATAGCTCAAGACAGATCCCATGTTTGTCTTGTTTACATGCAGGCCATTGGGGAGCGGGCCTATCCATGAGCCAGTGAGCCGATAACAAGAGGCAGCATCCTTGGTCAAGTCCATGGGCAGAAGACAGCCTTGGAACCACCCTCCCCTTCTGAATCATCTGACAGGCATGCTCTGTGTCATGGACTCTGTCGAATTGCTTCACCTACACCAGCCTTGTGTCGGCCACGCGTGCACAGACAATTCACAATCTAAGCACTGGGCAAGCGGAGGACACGGGCAAAAGGATGGATCGGATTTCGCATACCAGTTCCCGTTGTAGGCACGTTGATCGCAGCCTACAATGGAACCTGCCATGCAACTCCCACCTATAACGTTCACCAAGTATCCCCTATAGTACTCGAGCTACCTACAATACATATGCACCTATTGTATTGCTTGTAGGCCCTTTCTGTGAAAGCGAGCGGGTATCTGCGCGGGATCTGCAACTGGCCGTTCCGAGCCATCGTACTCGCAAGTCGACCAATCGTTGGTATTGCTGACGGCGGCCAGGCTCACAAAGACTGTCCCCAACGTGCGAGAAACTTGATCCGAGCTCCCAGGTTCTGTCGTTCTGACCCCTCAGCGGTCTGCTCGCCGATAGGAACGTAGTAATATGGTACATAGGTCTGTGCCTTGGATTTGGTACTCCTAGATGATTGATAGTGCTGTCGTGTATCGTTGCACTCAGTCTCATGCATGGCGGCAGGCGGATCCTGGGAGAGGGAGGAGCTGTCATGTTGTGTTGGGGGGATGCTGACCGTTTACTGTAAGCCATCAAGGACCTTGCATGCCGCCGCAGAGTTGGACAGCATTTAAGTAGTACTCTAGCATGACTTGACTGTCAGTCAGATAAGCCGAGCTCAGCTCTGCAAGTAGACAGAAGCGACGACCGGCTGTGCATGTTTTCTACCTAGCTGCTGGTAGAGTACCTATGTCCATATGCATATGGTAAAGGTACCATCATGAGCCATGACGCAGTTGCGCGCTTTCTTTTGTGTGATGATGATGATGATGATGATGATGATGATGCAGAGCAGGGGCCGACAATGTGGTGTGTTCATCCAGGCTACCGATCTTCACGGCTCGCTCGGATGGAAGAAGCAAGCGCATTGCAGTGTCTTTGGAGGCAGAAGGTGCTGCCATCCCCCCCCGTACGCGTACGGGTCCATCACATGAAGGCCAAGAAGCAAAAGTGCATGGTAGGTACATTGCAGGTAAGGTTGACGACAACGGTTATTTCCAAGCTCAACATCCATGGGGCCTGGTCTGTGCCGGTACTCTCTACTAGAGTACTCTGGTAGAGGAGTATTGTCTTGGGGGGAGGGGGGGCTTCCATGTGTGATTAGCCAATGGCAAACTGTTCAGCTCTACTGTACATGATGTGTACCCATCCCAGTCATCACTGACAACATGGCTGACCTGGATCTGGATCAATGCTTCATCACCGCTACAACGGCCCAAGCATGGCTGGTGCTACTATAATTTGGTGGCCTTTACCTAGCTGAATGGCCGTTGTGGAATGCGGTCATGGTAGGTAGGTACGTAGTAGGTATCTCTCGAGCCAAGGTTGGGGTGGGCGTGTGGATATTCGGTAGTCACGGTACATTCAACATTCCAGGATACCGCGTCGCTCCCTACTCCTAGACGGGCTGACCTTCCCTCCTTCATGGAGCAGTAAACGTTCCATCCAGTGATGAGATTGATTGAGATGCGGTGTGCATGCGGAAGCGCCTCTTGGGGTTGTCTGCAATGCGGGGCAACGAGGGCGCGGGACATTGCCCCTTCCCTCGCTTGGTTGTTGGTCCACGGCTGTGTCGCAATCTACTCCTAGTAGTATGAACGGATAGGATTACTTACCTATCCCTGCTGGTGGAGAATAACGACGTAACAGATACTCTAGCCATACATACTACTAACTATGTCCCTACCCAGCACGTGCACCATCATGTACCTGTTTAGCTTTCGGTGACTCTGCCACAGCTTCCCAAAGCCCGAATGCAGTCATTGCTGAAATCGTCCAAAAGAGGTTAGGCAACGGCTTGAAACATGCTTACCAAGCACCTGACCCTTTTCTTTTTTTCTCTTCTTTTTTTTTTTTACCCTGAGAGCTCACACCCGGCTCGACAAACGGTTGCGGTGCTTGCTGCGGCAGCATCTTGAACGAGCATAACGTACTGCAGACATCCGTCCCACCTTGCGAGGTGACGTCGTCTTGAACTGGAGGGACCCTCAAACTGGGTTGATGCGCGTGCTGTGCTGTCCCCCTCCATCTTGCAGATGGGCTGGCGGATTGTCGAGGTAGAATTGCGTCACGATGGCTATCGCTGTCTTGGAACCAGTCAGAAGATGGCGAGACCTGATGGCTGGCCGTCATGCCCCCGAAGTAGGGACCCAAAGTATGTCTGGGACCATGCAAGCCCAATACATACCGTATTACCCTCACCCCAGTCCCGAGATTACAGCGTCCCTCGGATGCTAGGCTAGTACATCCATGGGGTACAGACATGGAACTGGGAGTGCCTAGGTACCTAAGGCATTTGTACACTGTAGCAGGACCTGGCTTTCGGTACACGATCCATTGTCGCCAATAGGCAGCCAGAGAAGAACGCAAATCTCTCGCTCTCTCTTTCTCTTTCTCTTTCTCTTTCTCTCTCTCTCTCTATACGCAGGTAGACTAGTAGACAAGGCCAGCTTTACTTTGCTGTGTTCAACAACAAGGCGCCTGACGATTGTCGGATGTCCCAGTGCTCTCGTGGGAGTGCGTTCAAGGGCTGTCGGTTGCCGAGGTCAGCGGCTAGGCGTCGAGTACAGGTTGCAATTTGCAAACAAAGCAGTCACTATAAGCTCCATGTGCCGTGATGGTCATGAGCTTGGCGAAATAGCGGTCGGTCGCGGTAAGCGTCCACTGTTGAATAATTGACACTGGGAACAAATCGCGCAGAGCTAGCCGTAAACCTTGGCCTACCCGGGTTTGGGAAGAGGGCAGTGCAAGTGCTAGAGAGTTCCCCTCGCCGGCGCACACAATTGCAATATCATTAGACTCCTACCATCCGGTTTTGGTCGCTGGTGTGTCGTCCAAGTCGTCAATAGTCAACCTCTCTCTCTCTCTCTTTCTTCCTCAACTGTTGCTCTTCGGATAGGTACCTTACGACTGGCCCGCCACCACCCATATCTTCGCCCCCCACCAAAATCAAGGGAAAAAGTCTCGGCGCAGGCACAGCCACACAACCACCGCCCCTTGTGGCAGTGATCTGTCTCTGTTGCCCTAGGTGCGCCCTCAGCGCTCCCATCCAAAAGGCCTACTATTACCTACGAGAACGAGTCTTTACATTGGCAGTGTCTGCCGTTTGTCAGCATCTTCCACCGAGTGTGCGCCTGCCCGCCTCTGTTGCTGGCTCGGGTAGTCACCGTGTTTTCGCATATCAAGTCCGTTCACGCTCACCTTCCGACCCTCGTCTCCTCCACCCAACATAGACGACGATACGCCGTTTTGAGAGCCATACAATAAAACCGACTGGGCTCCTTGCCCGTGAGACACCCGCGTCTCCAAAATCCACCGGCCTCCTCATCTCCCATTTTCGATCCACTCTCTGCCTAGCCTCGCCGCCATCCACGGCAAACCAAAGCAACCACCATGGCGGCCCCAGCAAGCAGTGTGCCCTCCAGCACCGTAGCCAAATCGGGCGCATCATCCTCAGCACCTTCTTCCGCGGCCTCGTCACTGCACTCGCAGCCCGACGCCACTACCCCTCTTCCCCAGCCGGTACAGCACCACGGCGCCAGCAGTGTCCAAGCCGCGGCCGAAGCCCTGCTCAAGCCCAAGAAACCCACAATGACGTCGCGCCTGAGTTCCATGCTGGGGCGCAAAGAGCCCACAGCCGCAACGCTCGCCGAGAGAAATGGAGAAGTCAAGGCCGTGAATGGCGCCACAGCAAACGGTCGTCCGCCGCCCCAGCGCCAGGGCTCAGTGACGAGAAAGGACAATCTGGTCGCACCCTACAAGCGCTTTTGGGTCAACGAGGACGGCACACACGAACACCATCTCAAGGTAGCCAAGCGGCAAGAGAAGCTTTCCGACATGTTCCAGTCTCTGATGCTGGGCAAAAAGAAGGGCGAGAATGTCGAGGACCAGCCGCTGAGCCTCATGTCAAACTGGGTCGATGTCATGCGCAACGAGAAGGAAAAGCTTGCGGAGCAAAAGAGCGCAGTCAACAGCCTTCCACAGACGTTAGTCCAAAAATATGGCAAGTGCCAGGAAGTCGTAGGACGCGGAGCCTTTGGGATCGTGCGTGTGGCCCACAAGCAGGATCCCAAAGACTCGAGACGAGAGCAGCTCTACGCCGTCAAGGAATTCAAGCAACGGCCTGGCGAGTCTGCGAAGCGCTACCAAAAGCGCCTCACATCCGAGTTCTGCATCTCGTCGTCGATGCAGCACCCTAATGTAATTACTACCCTTGACCTGCTCCAGGACGAGAAGGGTACCTACTGCGAAGTCATGGAGTACTGTTCAGGCGGTGATCTGTACACGCTTGTCCTTGCAGCTGGTCAGCTCGAGGTTTCCGAGGCCGATTGTTTTTTTAAGCAGCTCATGCGCGGTGTTGAATACATGCACGAAATGGGCGTGGCGCATCGCGATCTGAAGCCAGAGAACCTTCTCCTGACCACACACGGTTCAATCAAGATCACAGATTTTGGGAACGGCGAGTGTTTCCGTATGGCCTGGGAAAAGGAAGCCCATATGACTGCCGGCCTTTGCGGCTCTGCTCCCTATATTGCCCCCGAAGAGTATGTTGACAAAGAATTTGACCCTCGCGCTGTTGATGTCTGGGCCTGTGGTATCATTTACATGGCGATGAGGACTGGGCGTCACCTTTGGCGTGTCGCTCAAAAGGGCGAAGACGAATTCTTCGATCGTTACCTAGAGGATCGTAAAGAAGAGGAAGGCTATCGACCCATTGAAGTTCTTAGACGAGTAAGTGACCACATTCTCTGCCCGTTAAGAGTCCTTCTAACGGCTCCACAGCGTCAGTGTCGTAATGTGATTTACTCTATTCTCGACCCCAATCCGACACGCCGCCTCACAGCTCACCAAGTCCTCGTTTCAGAATGGGTTTCGGAAGCCAAAGTCTGCCATGCTGGCAACGAGGGCTTCTGATCTTTGGTCATGATACAAGCTCATCTTGATCTCCTCAAGACTAAGCCGGCGTGCTACCTGCTGTCTGGACACGGCTATTTTTACTTAGTCCATGGCTGCCTCCGACATTTATTAGTCACTGTTGGACCCTAACATTCTCACTCAACACGCTGGGCCTAGATGGCCTAATCTATCTTGGGCAATGTATACGACAGTTTTTTTTTTGCTTCATCTCCTATTTTCTACATGGTTTCCTGCGGTACGACATTATTTGGACGATACCTTGCAAGGCATACCCCTCTTACGGCTGATGCCACAGCATAGCGAAACATGACGGTATTGGCACTTTTAGCACTCTCGTACGGCGTTTCTTCTTGCATCAACGGCCTATCAGCACGGAGTCTCTGGAGCACGGTCGCGATATGGACAAGGTCTAGATGGCAATGGAATTGCGTAAAGGGGGACTGGGAGGTTTTTGTCTGGGAAGACAGTTTCCCTGGAGGCGGACTGTAGACCTCTCCGCTTGTGTGTGTGTGTGTGTGATGGAAGGGCAAACACATGCGCGTATGGGGAAGCATTTGGGGAAGATGACCTGTAACGATTTTATGTCTTAGCACGCATTTTGTATCTGAGCGTGCTGCGTGCCGCGCTCTGTATTGCACTATATACTTTGAGTAAAAAAATCGGTTTTATGGATAGTTATGGAGTCTGGCGCCAATGCTGACAAGACCAACGCTTTTCACATGTAAGCCTCACAAGACATAGCATTTGGTGGTCAGATGGCCCGATGGCCCGATGGTCAGACGAAAGGTGTAGCTGTCCACTGAAACATTTCCATGAGAATATATGAATTCCCAAAACGTGTCACTTTTGAGGCTCTGGCTTGGCGGCAACGTCATGGCTCAACTTTCGCTTGCACAAGGCGACCCTGCCCTGCGCATGCTTCTCTCTTTTCGCTGTTCAGCTGACCGGTGAAACAGGCCATCCAACAGACGTGTCTTTTCCCTCAAAAGGGCCTGTTCAAGACGGCGCCGCATCTTTCGCCTTTCCCCTCTTGCGGTTGGTCCATGGAACTTGTATCCGACACTGGGCAGGCCCAACTCGTAGTGAACCAGGCTTGAGCAAGCAATGCGACCAAGCGATGCCCACGATTGGCGCTCCTCTCCGCACATGGACGCTCCTCCTGCTGGTCTGCAGCTCAGCTACGTATGTGACCGGCCATGCAGCGAATGAAACCTCGAATGCCATCTCAGCCGCTACTGCAGCCTCGAGTATCACCACACCCTCATCCCCAGCGGCCACGGCGACTGTACCTTTGCCGTCACAGGCGCCATCACCCGCCCCACGCAGATACAGCAACAGCGACGCACAATGCCCGGCCCGCACAATAAACTATATTACACATACACTGCCGCAGCAGTGCGCCAAAACGAGTTGGTCGGCTCCCAGCGAGACTGCCTCTACGCATATCACGACGGGCGAGGCACAATCACAACCTACCACGAATGCTCCGACAAACACAGGCGAGCCAAGGCCGGAAGCAGAGAGCCAGTTGGATGATAAACTCAGCAGTGCCATCTCGCTCATTGCTGCTCATGCACACGGGACACCAAGCGGCACAGCGGGCGACTCTGGAGTAGAGGTGGAGACGGACTCGCCCTTTGACAATGCCAGTTTCCTATCCTTTGAGGAGTGGAAGAAGAAGAATCTCGAGCGGGTCGGGCAGTCACCTGAAAATGTCGGGCAAGGTCGGACTGCTCCATCAGGCGAGCAAGCGCGCAGACGGCCTGTCAATGTGAACGCTCTCGACTCGCTGGGCGACGAAGGAGAAATAGAGCTCGACTTCAGCGGCTTTGGAAATCCCGGGGATAAGAAAGAGACATCAAATCAAAGTCGGCAGGAAGGGACACAGGAGCCAGGAATGGCCAAGGCGACCGGAGAAGAGGGCATAGCTGCACCCAGCTCGTGGGCTCTGAGCAAGGATGCGGGCAAGACCTGCAAAGAGCGCTTCAACTACGCTTCCTTTGACTGTGCAGCCACTGTTCTCAAGACCAACAAGCAAGCCAAGAGCGCGACATCCATCCTCGTGGAGAATAAAGACAGCTACATGCTCAACGAGTGTTCCGCTGATAACAAGTTCCTCATCGTGGAACTGTGTGACGATATCCTGGTTGACACAATCGTCCTGGCAAACTATGAGTTCTTCTCCTCCATGTTCCGCCACTTTAGAGTCAGCGTCTCTGATCGCTATCCAGTCAAGCTTGAACGATGGCGGACATTGGGGACTTTTGAAGCGCGAAATTCGCGCGACATTCAACCTTTTCTCATCACTGAGCCGCAAATCTGGGCTCGTTACCTTCGTGTCGAGTTCTTGACCCAATATGGAAACGAGTTCTACTGCCCTCTGAGTTTGATTCGTGTACATGGAACGACCATGATGGAGCAGTTCAGGCAGGAGGAAGAGCAGGCAAGAGGCATTGAGGATGATGGTGACTTGGAGGCAGAAAGCAGGGATGTTGTGAAGCCGGCCGAGGATAGCGGACCATTGCCACCGGACCAGATACCCATTCAGGCTGTGAAAGATGGCAATGCAGGTTCTCAAGATACTTCAAGCTCAGAGAGTATAACAACAGCAACGCCATCATCAGGCCCTGAAACTGTGCCAAGTCAAACCCCACAGCAAGGCCAGGAACACGATATGTCATCTGGTTCTACAACAGTCGCTTCGGTCACTGAGTTCACAGAAGCAGCTTCTGACACCGCAGCCGCGGTTTCTTCCTCTCCAGCAGTCAAACAGAGAGGTACAAGTGGTGAATCAGACCCTTCGGCGAGTCACGGAAGCAGCGTTCCAGCAACACCATCACCACAATCATCAACAGGCTCAGAAATATCAACACAAAGTCAAAGCCACGCCTCAGATGCCGCCACTACTGTCTCATCGCCCCCTACCTCCCAAAGCTCCAGCCCCAGCAGCTCGACTGGCAATGGTACAGGCTCTCCACCATCCAACAGCCAACCAGCCAAAGCCGCAAGTGATGCTACTGGCGCAAGCCCACCAATCCAACCACCGCCCCGCGGTTCCTCTACTCAGCCCAACGGCGCCGTCCCATCAACCCAAGAATCGTTTTTCAAGTCCATCCACAAACGGCTCCTCTATCTCGAAGCTAATAGCACACTCTCCTTGCAATACATTGAGGAACAGTCGCGTAGCCTCCGTGATGCCTTTCTCAAAGTCGAGAAGCGGCAACTCGCCAAGACGGAGAAGTTTCTTGATCACTTAAACAGCACAGTCATGCTCGAGCTGAAGAGTTTCCGCAACATGTACGATCAGCTTTGGCAGAGTACTGTCATTGAGCTTGAGAGCATGAAGGAGAGGCAGAGGAATGAAATGGGGGAAATCGGAGCAAGACTGAGTCTATTGGCCGACGAGTTGGTCTGGCAGAAACGCATGGCCGTCGTACAATCCACCCTGCTCCTCGTCTGTCTCGGCCTCGTCCTCTTCGTCCGCTCCGGCACCTTGGGCTCATCCACCGATGTACCCATTGTCCAACACCTAGGCAGCAAATACACCAGCCTCTTCGACACCCCGTCCCGCCCCCAGCCCGAATCAGGACTTGCCCGCCGTCGCCGCACCTTTAGAGACATGTGGCGCAGCGACACCTCGGCCGGCCTCAGCGATCGCGACCACCAAAGCGATGCCCCCCACCCCCTCTCAGACGCTGACACGGATGGCGCCCGCAGCCCCCTTCACAACGAATATAGTCCCGGCTCGCCAAATCCGCCTACGCCAGCTACTCTGGGTGCACGCGATGCCCGCCTCCACGACAGGACGCTGCGGGCCTACGCTGACAATGACATGGATCTGTCGGATCCTGAGCCTGAGCCTCAGCTTGATCCTGATGACCAGGCTGCGCGCATTCAGGTCCTGGAAACGCAGTCTGGGCCTGCGACACCCAATGGTACACGTGACTGCCGGCCCTCGTGGGAGGAGGTGGACCGCGCGATGGATGAGTTGAAGGCGGAGGGTAGAGGGGCGAGTGGGCATAGTGGTGGCCCTGTTGGCGGGTCGCAGGTGGGAAGGGGGGAGGCGGTGGGGAAAGATGAGGATAGGGAGAGGGAGAGGGATAGAGATAAAGGCAAGAAAAAGGCAAAGGGCAAGGGCAAGGCGATGGGAAATGCACAGCGGTTGGGACAGGCACAGGCGGACAAGAAGAGTCCGTTGAGAAGGGCGTATAGCAGTTTTGACGAGAGGAACGGAGATGAGGATTCTTAGGGTTGAGAGTGGCAGAGGAGCCAAGCAAGAGAGTAACCTCGAATATGAAATTTCTCTTTTCCTTTTATATATATCAAAACATCCTATCCCATCCCAAACCAAAGCGGTGATGTATTTTCTCCCTCTCGCTCTCTCCCTCTAGACTACAACTTACTCACATTCCCACTCACACGATTCAAATACAGCGGATCCCTCGGCTCAATCCCATACTGTCTGCACAACTCCTCACCCCTCTTCTGCTGCGCCTCGATGCGCTTTTTATGCGCGGGGCCCCTCTTATTCTCATTGCGTCCCAACTGCAAAAGATGCACCTCATCCGGCCCATCGACGATGCGCATGGTGCGCCCAGAACTGTACATGTTTGCAAGAGGGGTATCTTGAGACACACCGGCGCCACCATAGGCCTGAATGGCCCAGTCAATGACCTTGAGGTTGACCTCGGGGACGAGCACCTTGACTTCTGCGATTTCCTTGAGCGCGCCCTTGGCCGACGTCTGGTCGATTTGGATGGCGGCGTTGAGGACGGCGAGGCGGGCGGCGTCGATTTCAATGCGGGAGCGGGCGACGCGCTCGAGCATGATGCCGTGTTTGTTGAGGAGTTGGCCAAACGGCTTCTTGCGCTCGTCGTTGATGCGCGCCAGGAACCATTCTAGTGCTTTCTCGGCCGACCCGATGCTGCGCATGGCGTGGTGGATTCGGCCGGGTCCTAGGCGGCCCTGGATGATCTCAAAGCCGCGGCCCTCGCCCAGGACCATGTTGGAGGCGGGCACGCGCACGTTGGTAAATGTGACGTGGCCGTGGCCGTGGGGTGCATCGTCGAAACCCATGACGGACAGCATGCGGTGGATGGTGATGCCTGGGGCAGTGTTGGGAACGAGGATGACGGATTGTTGCTTGTATTTGTCCGAGTTGTTGGGGTCCGTCTTGCCCAGTACGATGAAGATCTTGCAGCGGGGGTCACCGATACCTGAAGACCACCATTTCTGAAGTGAAATGTTAGCTTAGTTGTGGTTGAGGAGCAGCAATCTAGCTGATGGTGTAGTGGAGCTGTTCGAGGGTGACACGGGTTGACATACCTGTCCATTGAGAACATACGAGTCGCCATCACGCTTGATGGTCATCTCAATGTTGGTAGCATCACTAGACGCAACCTGAGGCTCTGTCATCAAGAAGGCAGAGCGAATCTCGCCCTTGAGCAGAGGGTCAAGCCATTGCCTCTTCTGAGCCTCGGTGCCATACTTGGCAATGACTTCCATGTTGCCCGTATCCGGGGCAGCGCAGTTGGTAGCCTGTCACATCATTAGCGACCCTCTCTGAACATACAGCAGACTCCAACAACGTACCTCACTAGCCGTCCTTGACTTGCCCAGGTACTCAGCCATGAGCCCATACTCCAAATTGCTGAACCCAGCACCCTCCTTGAAATGAGCCTTGGGCAGGAACATATTCCACAAGCCCAATTCCTGTGCACGCTTCTTCAAGTCCTCAATGATGGATGGGTGCGAGCTGAAGCGCTCTTGTGTCGTCTCGCCAATCTGGCGCACGTAGACGGCATCCGCGGGAATGCATTCCTCTTCGACGAACTTCTCGACCTGATTATGTACCGTTAGACGCCATGACATGATGAATAAGAAGCCACCAATGGTATGATTTACACTTACAATATCAAGAGTCTTCGCCGCCCTCTCACTAACAAACGGCCTCGCGATGACGGGGATACGCTGGGAAGCAGGAATATGGCCGTTCTGGCTATTGCTGAGCAGATCGAAGGCACGATCGTAAGGGACAGACATCTTCACGGCCCAAGGTTGGAAATTGAATCTGAAATTGAATCTGAACTTGGAAGGCAACAGGTATCCCAAAGTGAATTTCTAGTAGTTATTCAGAAAGAAAACTCGTCTGGGGTTATAGGAGTAGAAGAACAAAAGAGCGACTCGCCTTAGGCGGGCGAGTTCTGAGGAGGCGAGCTTCGGCCATAGGTCTCCCCCGCAAATAAACCCCCAGCGGGAAAGATGCCGAGGTAGCGAGGCAGGCGCAACAGGAACGTCGCTTCTCCCCCATAAGCGGTAACTTCGGGAGGGTGAATAGCGTCTTGGCGGCGAATGGGCGACGGCACCCAACCTCATGCTTCCATTGTTTTGTCATCTCGTCCCGTTTCATTTCTTCATATGCTTCGCTAAATAATGGCCTCACATTTGTGTACAACAAGATCCATGACGCAGTCCGCAGTATGCTCTATGCCACCAGTTCCGAGGATGAGCCCTATCGCCTCGCTCCAAAACAGTCTAGTGTCCTTTGTGTACAACACAAGTGCCTCAGGTAGAGACAGCCTTGGACTATCAGGCTTTCCCAATTCGTCCTGTAGACTCCAAAATCAATAGTCAACCATCCCTCAACTGCCAACAGGCGTCCCGCTCCTACTCAGTCCACTGCCCGAGCTGTTGTGCCTCAGGACAGGCGTCGCACTCCTGCTCCTTTCCCGGTCACGCTCCCGCTCTTCAGTTTTGACTCGCTCACGCGCCTCCTCTACAAGCCGCTTTGCTTCCCTGACATTCCGCATGGTTCTACTAAGCTTGCCCTCCTTGCCTTCTTGAAGCTTCTGCATTTCCCCTCTTGCCTCGATATCCTCCTTGGTCCGGGCGACAAAGCTTTTAAAGCTGCCTTTCAAGTTGGTCCGAATGTCCTGGCCTTCATCGAAGACGCAGTCACTATCTCGGATAGACTTGACGTCCTCGACGCGGCGAGTAAGGTAGAGTGTGGGCCGACGATTCGCGAATTGGTCTTTGCGTTGAGCGATGATGCGTTGAACCTCCTCTTCATAGGCCGTCTCGTACACATTCATGTCGACATTGGAAGGAGATTCAGAAACGATAAAGGTTTCTTCTGACTCGGGGACGCAGTCTTCGCCAGTGCCAATATTAAGGAAGAGGGTGTCTTCTAAGGGATCGTGCGCTTGGCCCTTGCCAATGGGCGTGGTAGGGGTCGATGAGGGAGCTGTACCTGACATGCTCGGTTGAGTTATTGCTGGTCGAATAGACATGTTTTCATGTACAACCTTGCCCTCCTTGGGGGTTGTTGGTATTTGTATCGACGGACTGCTGGCTGTAGGGTTTTTGGCCGACGGTCGAGTGAATGAGGGTCCTTGTCGAGAATTGGACTTTGAAAACGTCTTATCATTCATATGATGCAGTAATTTGCGACCCTTGTCGTCGACTTTAACCTCATGATGAACGCCCTCGGTGCTGAGTGCACTTTCCACGGGACGGCGATCGTGCGTATCTTGTGATTTTGACTTGCGCATCATTGACGGCCGCATAGACAGTGGAGGCTGTACTATGCGAGACGCACTACCTAGTATACTCTCGATACGCTCTGGTCGTCTCCTGAATAGCAATTGCTTGAAACGTTTGACAGCACGAACCTGAGCTGCCATCAGTGTTTCGAACTCATCGATTGTGACGAAAGATATCTCGACAAAAAACGATTATAGAACAAAAAGCTTACCACTGTCACCAGATGGCCCATATTCCCGGTAATGGCAGCATTGACCTCTTCATCCGTAGGCGGCTCAATGATGGAAGAAACATTCTCTGACTTTGGGAGCAGAGGATCTGTCCCTTGTCGCGTGACCCACGGGTGTTCCTCCAAAATGTCAGCTATATGTGGTACAGGTGAATGATGGGTACTGACTCTAATCTCTTCCATAGTGATGCGTTTCTTTGGATCTTTCTCCATAAGCTTTTGCAATAGATCCTTGAGTTCCTCATTGCAGTCCGAGTCAAACTCGAGAGGGTCCGACCGGATGGATTCGTACAGCTCAATCATGCCAGTGCGCTCGAACGGTATCCTGCCAAATCGCAGGCAGTACAGGGTGCAGCCCATTGACCAGATATCGGCCGCCCTTCCAGATACATGTCCATGTTTGGCGACACACAATTCAGGTGGCATGAATGCGGGAGATCCAGCGGACTTGGCCGTCTTCATCTCACCTTCCTTGTCGAACATTTCCGATACGCCAAAGTCAACAATCTTGAGTACATCATCCCCGGTGACCAGGCAATTATCGGGCTTGATATCTCGGTGGATAATCCCCTGGGCATGAACTACCAAGCATGAGTCAAAGGCCATGGGAAAAGCTTGGTGAGCAACATACGATATTCGAGGCCTAATATCATGTCGCGGAACCAGCACCGACACTGTTCTTCGCTGTACGGATCGGCACGTTCTTCCAGCCCAACCTGCATGACGACGCCCTTTTTGCACATTTCCATGACCATGTATAGCGAGTCTTCTTCGGGGTCGTCGAGCACTTCGATCAATGTGACGAGGTTGGGGTGGTTCAGCTTCTTCATGATTGCGATTTCTTCCTTGATGAGCTCAAACGCGTTGTTCTCCTCGGTGGTCGAATGTCGATGCAGGGGCGAGTTGAAGCCGATGCCCGCAGGCAGGGCACGTATGCGTCTGGCGGCGGCCGGTCGACGTAGAAGATTGGATTGTGCCCGCTTCCGCAGCCGGGACTTGGAGAACTCCTTGACAGCCTGCGGGATCGAATCGGTCAGCGACATCACAAGTCTATGCTCACAAGTCTATGCTATGCGCATTTGTCGACTGGGGACAGTGCCATGTGTAAAGTGCAGCAGGCTGGGAATGAGATGTAGATGACTCACATATTCCTGCCCATATTGGTCTTCAGCAAGGTGGACAGCACCAAACGAGCCACGGCCAATCTCCTGTTTCACCCAGTACTGGTTGATGCGGTGTTGTGCGCTACCATCATCTTCACTGTTGCTGTATTCGGACCGGGCATTGAAGGTTTCCTGCAGGGCCATCAGCAGGTGGGCTTTGGAGGATGGACGACGTCATGTTCAATGCACCTTGACGCGTCTAGTCGACGAGGCAGCTCGCCGGTGATGTCGTAGTGGGCTTTGGTAGGCGGGCGTTGACCTGTTGATTATAGGTAAGCATGAGCAAAAAGACCCTCAGCACCTTGGCGGGGTAGCGTGTTGTGGCATTGTTGACGTAACTTGGGGGAGGGGGGGAGGGGTGGCTGCACGCACATGTACTTTACGGGCTGTGGGCGTCCGTCGTCGCCAACGGTAGGAACGTCCAAGGTGGGTTGCGAGGTGTAGAAGCGCAATTCGTGGTCGGCTTGGTGTTTGGCGTCGGTGGTAGGAGACTGCGACATGGCTGGGCGAGGCAGAGGCAGAGGCAGGGCAGGGCAGGACAGGACAGGGCAGGGCAGGGTGAGGTAGATTAGTTAGGTCAGGACCTAGGTAGTGATATGTAAGGCTGCTGCTGTTGCTGCTGCTGCTGAGCGAGTGGGCCTGGGGACAGGACAGCAAGCGACCTAGCAAAGAAGAGGGTACTTATGGGGAGGGGGAAACGCTTTGGGCGTGCAAAGTTCACCTCCCTATCTGTGTTGGAGCTGCTGCAACGTCGAAAGAGCGATCGCCAGCGAGCGCCTTACATCTTCGTCTGCTTCTCTGCTGCTGGACGGCTGAAAAGGTCGAGCGAGGATATATATATATGTGTGTGTGTGTGTATGTGGGGAAGGGTGGAGGAAGGATATGGTGGTATATCAATCCATCGAGCGATCAGTCATTCTTTCATTCAGTCAGTCAGTTAGTCAGTCAGTCAGTCAGTCAGTCAGTCAATCAATCAATCAATCAACCAGTCATTCAATCAGAATCAATCGTTCAATCAAATCACTCTCAATCACGCAAATGATGCAGCTGAAGACGGCCAACACCCTGGGCCTTGGCCATGATCCTCTCCCAACCAGTTGACATGCATCTAGTCCCTATGTACAGACCCTAGCATAGCACAGGTACAGACAGAGTCCATCATCAGCCTGGATCATCGCCAAAGTCCATTGAAGAAGTCAACCGGCCAGATCCAATCAAGCAGCCCATCCCTGCCTGCCTTCTCCACAACCCGACAACCCCCCCAGTGCACACCACCTTTTTGGAGTCTCGGGACAGCCTGGAATTGCCTCCATCTGAAGTCATTCCGGCTGCCTGAATCTCCCTCCCCCCTTGCATCATTGCATCTGACAACCACCCATAATTCTGACGTTGAAGTGGAACAGTCTTGTCCTCCCCCGCCCCATTCGCACGGCCACTTTGCCCGGTACCGGTACTTACCACGCATGTGCACTGGCCTGCGTCTAGAGTATCTTTCTCTCCCACTCTGAATCCCACGATTGACGTCTTGCCTAAACCCCCCTCTGACGCCATTACCATTACCTACTCCCACCCACCCTCGTCCGCGCCATGGTGCTCTACAGCTTCTACATATTCGATCGCCACAGTAAGTCGCCCCATTGCGCCCACCCCCAATGGCCAATCTAACGCACAACACCTTTGCAGCCGAGTGCATCTACTCGCGGCGCTGGACCCCGCGCCCTGCCTCGTCGAGCTCCTCCAAGACGCCCGCGCGTCCACAATCAGGGTCCAGCATCACCAGCAACAACGGCGACGCGCCTGCAACCACCCGCAAACCACTCTCCCACGGCGACGACGAGAAGCTCGTCTTTGGCCTCGTCTTCTCGCTGCGCAACCTCGTCACCAAGCTCGGCGGCGCAGACGACACCTTTCTCTCCTACCGCACCGGCGAATACAAATTGCATTACTACGAGACCCCCACGCGCATGAAGTTTGTCATGCTCACGGATACAAAGGTCATCAATCTGCGCCAGTACCTCCATCAGATCTGGGCAAATCTCTATGTCGAGTATGTTGTGAAGAACCCATTGGCCCCGACGGAACATCCTGGGGGCATTGGAGTCGCCAATGAGCTGTTCGAGAGGGGTCTGGAAGCTTTCATCACAGCCGTGCTGCCAGTGTGAACAAGGGCACGGAGACGGCGGGAAATCAATCATGGGATGAAGAGCATGCTGTAATGGCAAAAGAAGAGCCTGTGATCCTCACCACGGCAACCCTCGCGTGCTCATTGGTTCGCAGTTTGGTACAAGCATGACAATGAGCTGTCATGTGGCTGCTAAGATCATACCTCTCCACCTAGCGCTGCAAAGAACGTCGTCGTTGCCGCCACCACCTCAACGCCCAGTTTCACAACTACACAGATGGCGATGGCTCACACTCAAGCGTCAAATCCGCTTGTCGGGCAACCCACGAGGGGCTTCCCCATGAAAAGCCAATTGCGGACGGGCCAAACAGACAGTCAAGCATCACTCTACTGCGCCCATCCATTTAGTACCATACAAAGTAGACATCACGTAGATTACTGCTCGTTAGCAGCAAGCAGCCTCCCTTCCAGCATAGCATGCTCACAGCGAATTCAAAGATGCACGTTGCGCATAGACAAGAACCAGACAGAAACTCCATTTCTATGCAGGATCCATGAGCCCCATTCATAAAAGCCATCAAAGCCATCAAAGCGAACCTGTTCGCCATTTTCCAACTGTGCTCCGCCCATAGAAAGCCCCCCAACAACCCCGAACCAGCAAAGGAAAATCTAGACATATTCAGTCCTGACCTTTTTAGCCTTCTTCTTATTCGCCTTGAAATGCTTCTTGCTATTCGTATTCAGCTCGGCGACATCTACATCCCTCTCCAACGCCGTCATTTGCTTGAGTTTCCGACCGCTGAGCTGCTTGCCCTGCTCACTGTATTTGTGGTGGAACGGCACATTGACCCGCGCCATACCCTGGCCGGGACCGAAGAAGCGTTTATCCATCATCTGCGTCTTCTCACCTTGCACGGGAACACCACCACCAATGTCGAGGTCGTCGGTCATGAGCGACTCGTCCTCGTCAGGGCCAGCGAGCGATGTCGAACCAGGAAGGCGGGCAAGAGGGTGGTGGCGTCGTTTGGCGGGGAGGTGGTTGACGTCGTAGAGTTCGCGATTGAAGAGTTTGGGGTCCAGTGGTGGATCAACGGGGGGAGGATGGCAGAAGAGGATCTTGCCCTTGACGTAGTCTTTGAGAATGTAGCGCGCCGCTCGCGACTCATCAGGCTGGCCGAGACCTTGTGTTGAGAAGCCTCGGGCAATGGCGTATGCACGCAGAATTTCTTCCGAAGTCAGGATCCCGGTCCCGCCTTCTTCCAAGGGGCGCGGGTGAATCTTCATGCCGTAGAGGGCTTCAAGGAAGGGTTGGGGGATGCGGCGGGCGACGAGGCCGGCAGGACCGGTGTACTCGCGCAGTTGGTCAATAGGGAGGACACCTGCACAGACGAGCTCGGCTTTCGTGGTGGCAAAGTTGGGGAAGACTAGACCGGGGCAATCACAGAGGACGACCTTCTCACTCAAATGAATAGTCTGGAAGTGCTTGGTCTTTCCAGGGGTTGCTGAGACTGACACCTTCTTTGCCCCGATAAGGGCGTTGATGGTGGACGACTTTCCGACGTTGGGGTATCCGACGAGACCGATGGATGTCTTGCGAGGCTCTCCATTAGGCCCTGTGTCGACGTCTGGCGAGTGTTCAAGGAATAGCGCTTCGAGGTCTTCGGTAGTCAATATGCGCACACGCTCATCCTCGTCTGGGAGAGGCTCGCTTTGGTCACTCACAGCGACCGTCTCTGCATCGACCGGTTGCGCATTCTTCCCTTTCTCGCCTTGAAGACGAATTTTCCTGGCTTCTTTTGCAAGGGCTTCATCTTCTGAGTCATCAGTGTCTTCTTCCGAATCAACCTCCTCCGCCTCAGCGTCCTCTTCACCCGAGAACTCACCCGACTCGTCTGTGTCAACTGAGTCCTCCAAATCGTGTCCTTCTGCTAAAGCCCTGGCCTCGTTCATTTCTTTAGCCAACTCGGCCGAGAAGAACTTGTAGTTGATGCCCGCTGATTCGAAGTAGTCAGCCCATGCGCGGCGCTGGCCAAGCGTCATCATATCGGCTTTGTTCACCAACAACAAGTTGTTCTTCCTTGGGTCGACCTCCTTGACGTAATCCTCCAAGTCCTCAGATCGGAACATGAGTGGGTTTCGTGCATCAACAATCTGCACAACAAGATCCGAGCGCTCAATCACTCGCCACAACTGCCTCCAGACTTCGAGATTGCGCTCGAAGGGAGTCATGAGCAAGTCGTTGTTTTCTTGCAGTTCAGCCAAGCCTCTCCGCCATTGAAGCAGCGACTCGCGCTCCATGGTGTCTAGTTCCTGTGGTGTCGTCTTTTCATCCCACTTTGGTCGCCGCGGGACTGTAAGACGGTTCTTGTTCTCTTTGTGTTTGCGGGTGACGTTGCGCTCCTCCGTTGCCGAGAGAAGGTAGGGGTTTTTCTGGTCCTTGTGAATGATCTTGACGTTGTTCATCTTCTCAGCGGTAAAGTCGGTACCAGCCAGCTCTGCAGTGGAAAGAAAGTCGTCGAGGGCGCCCTGTTCGGTGACGGAGCGCATCTTTACCCATGCAGCGTCCTTCTTCTCGTTGATAATGTACTGTAGGGCTTGTTATTAGCAACCAGCATTTCACCGTGATGTCGCGCGCACATGCGACCGTAAGTATGCGCATTGTACACACCTTCTCGCCGTTCTGTCCTGTCCTCTCAATACCGGCCTGGAAGTTGCCCCTCCTCATGTCGGCACCTTTGCCTTTGCCAAACCTGTCATTCATGAGACTGTTTCCGAGGCCAACGGCCTTTTTCGATTTTGCGAGCACCATGTTTGCGGTGTAGTGGCTAAGGTATCTTGTGGTAACAGTAGTATTCCAGTATCGGTGTGTATATGTATCTCGCTGGTATATTCCCTTGTGGTCCCTTTTGAGGGGTGTGAGGGTGTGAGGGGTATATGAGGGGCGTGAATGGGTGTGAAAAGTAAAAGTTGCCCGCCCAGCCGAAGTCGCCCCACGTCATTCACTGGTCCCTCGCCTAAATTTATTTTTCTGGACGTCTCCGAGACCTTTGTCCGCGCCGCGTCTTCCCCAGACTTCCAGGTACAATCGTTGCCACTTCCTTCACGCCTTTTTCCACCCTCTACCGCCCTATCCTCGCCTAATCAAAAATGCCTCGCCGAAAGTTCATGTGAGTGGTGGTACTCTAATCGTATTGCGTCGAGTACCCCGCCAACGTTAATCGTGCGCAGCGACAAGAAGACAGCGACCAACTTCCGCCTCGTCCACCGCGCCCAAAATGACCCCCGAATTCACGATGAAGATGCCCCTCAGATGGTCTTCGCCGAGACCAGTGCACCAAACCAGCGCGAGGACTCTGAGGCGGCGGGCAGTTCACGTGCTTCACAGTACTCGGCCGCCACAGGAAGGAGCAAGATCAAGTCGCGGCGAGAGTTAGAAAGCGAATATGGAGCACAAGTGCGAAAGAACGAGGGGGAAGCCGCCAACTATGGCGTCTACTATGACGACACCGAGTACGATTACATGCAGCATATGCGGGACTTGGGTACGGGCGGGGGAGAGGCCTACTTTGTCGAAGCGCCGAGCGAGAAGAAGAAGGGCAAAAACAAAGTGGACCTCGCAGATATGCTGCGGGATACATCGCTGCAAGACAGGCAGAGTAACGCAGATCTCAGTGTCAGCAGCAATATCAGCAGTGTCAGCGACTTGTTTGGAGAAGACATGGCCCCATCAGAGTTCGTACGAAAGACTACATACCAGGACCAACAGAACGTGCCAGACGCCATCGCGGGCTTCCAACCAGACATGGATCCCCGTCTACGCGAAGTCCTTGAGGCGTTGGAGGACGAAGCCTACGTCGACGATGAAGACGACATCTTCGCTGAACTCGCAGCAGACGGCTACGAGGTCGATCAACGTGAGTGGGGATATGATGGATTCGAGGGAGAGGACCAGCGAGACACAATGGATCGCTTCCTCGACGATGATGACGCCGGCTGGGAATCAGACGACACTGTCAAAGCTTCCTCACCCAATCCCAAGAAGCCCACACCCGCACAGCCAACAGATCCTTCATTCCTGCCCGCCCCTGATGAGGCCCCAGCGCCCGCTCAGGCAGGAGATCTCGCATACCTCGACGAATTCAAGAAGTTTAAGAACGATGTCAAAGCAGCCAAGGCACCTCGCCCAACTGCACCCTCAGACATGCAGTCCTCGATCATGACCGGTGCATCTGCCCTAACAGCAGGCGGCCGGAAGAAGAAGCGCAAGGGTGCCATGACCTCGACCTCTGGCTACTCCATGTCATCTTCTGCACTGCATCGTACAGAGGGTCTCACACTACTTGACCAACGCTTCGATAAGATTGAAGAAGAGTATGCTGATAATGGCGACTTTGACTTCCCAGATGATAGCTCCATGATCTCAGGTATGAGTAAAATGTCCGGCCTCAGCAAGATGTCTGGCATGACGGGTATGAGCCAATGGAGTAGCAGCGAGGCACCACCATTACGAAGCGACTTTGATAGCATCATGGACGATTTTCTAGGCAACCACCATGTCCAGGGTAAGAGAAGGGTGAAGAAGGGGAAGCAGCTGAGCCCAATGGAGCAATTGGATGAGGTGAGGAACGGGCTGGGACCTGCGAGGGTTAGTGCACGGACAAAGGCGCAGCAAGCTGCTTAGACGACCAATTCGGCGGGATACATTTGTGCATTATTCGGCGTTCACAAGGATTTAAAAAGGATCCCGGAGCGTATTATGACGAATGAATGGTATGGTGCATGGGCCTTCTGGCGTTTACAATACCTCCGGATAGACCAAGAGCAATGCAGGATATTCTCACAAGATCTGCCATAACCGAAAAGTACTCGCGGTGGTAGCCCTGCAAACTACTCTTGGTAAATATAATCTGCAAAGCTTCGCCTCGCCTTGTTTTACAAGCATAGGATCTTCTAGTAAACGAATAGAAAAGGCCCGACCCTGCGTCCTCGTGAGGCATCATCCCGGGGGCGGCTTCGGTCATATGGCTCGGCCATGCCCGTTCGATGCAACCACATACCGCAACACCATCAGTGACCACGCGATTGTATGAATCAGCCACGGGTAGCTCTGAGCTTCCAATCTACTCAGACTCGCATGCACTGGCATGTGCGGTGGTGTCAGCGAACCTAACAGGATCACGCATAGATGAAGGACCGAGACGAAGGAAGTAGAGGAGCAACTAGCACCCACAAAGTTGGTAACATGCTGACGAAGGCTAGCATGCTGCTAAAATTGACATTCAACAGGTCCTTTAGCCAGCACATCAAGGATGAAGCCCGGTCAAATAAGTGAAGGGTAACTGGTCATATGCGTTCGTAAAAGGTGAAGGGGTTATACAAACGTACGCTGGTACCTATATATATGCCATCCACTGACAATCTTTCCACCACCCACTTCTTCTCCTCCAACTCTCTTTGCCACCCCTCTCTTTCTACATACCAAACAAAATGATTCTCTCCTCCTTCCGACAAATCTCTCTTCCCCTCCTCGCTCTTTCTTGCACTCCTGTCATCGTCCGTTCTGCTCCGGCTCAACCACCTCTCCCAGTTACCGTCGATGTAGCCATTGTTGGTGCTGGTCTCTCTGGTCTAACCGCAGCCTCCAACCTCCTTGCTGCCAAAAAAACTGTTCTCGTCTTCGAAGCTCGCGACCGCGTTGGCGGAAAAGTATTCAACCACCCCTTGAAGAACGGCGGCGTCACAGAAGTCGGCGCCGAATTCGTTGGCCCGACACAAGACCATGTGTTGAAGTTGATCAAAGATTTGGGACTAGAGACATTCGAAACATACAACACGGGAGACTCAGTTTTGTGGAGGAATAACACGAGGACAGTGTATACACCCGACCCTGCTCTCGGCGGTGCGCCACCCGTGGACGGAGCATCGTTATTACAAGTCGCAGCTGCGCAGCAGCAACTAGATGAGTGGGCTGCAACCATCAAGCCATCCTCACCCTTCTCGCACCCTAAAGCCCAGGAATGGGATTCCAAAACGTTTGAAGACTTCCTACACCAGGCTACGCCATCAGCCGATGCAAACTTCGTCCTCACCACGGCCTGCAAATCGCTCTTCTCCGCCGAGCCCAGGGAAATCTCCCTCCTCAACGTGCTCATCTACATCGCCTCTGCAGGCAACGAAACCACGACCGGCAACCTAACCCGGCTTGTGGCTGTCAAGGACGGTGGACAAGAATCCCGTGTCATCGGCGGCACAGGTCTGATTCCCACCCGCCTGGCCGACCGTGTAGGATCTCAGCATATCGCCCTCAACAACCCTGTCATCAGCATCACAAGGATGGGCTCAGGCTACGACGTGAAATCAAAGCACCACACTGTCCACGCCAAATTCGTCGTCCTGGCCCTGGCCCCCCCTCTCCTCCAGAAAATCACCTTCACTCCCGCCCTCCCCGAGGCCCGCAGCGCCCTCAACAAGAACATGAAGATGCCCGCCCTGGGCAAGGGCATTGCAATCTACAAATCCCCTTTCTGGCGCACTCCCACCACGGCCCAAAAATCCGGTCTCAGCGCCCAAGTCCTGTCCGACGCTGGCTCTGTCCGCGCCACCTTCGACTCGACACCGCACCCCAGCACCAAGCCCGCCTTCGCCGCCATCATGGGCTTCCTCCTCGGCGACGAAATGCGCGCCATCGACGCCATGTCCGTCCCTGCCGCCCAGGCCAAGATCGTGGACGACTACACGCGCTACTTTGGTGCCCCGGCCAAGGACTTTGTCGAGTTTGTGCTGCAGCGCTGGGATCTCGAACCCTTCAGTTTGGGCGGCCCCGTGGCAATTGCAGCACCCGGCCTGCTGAGCAAGTATGGAAATGCGTTGAGGCAGCCAGTTGAGGGGTTGCATTTTGCGGGCACGGAGACGGCGGATTATTGGATGGGGTATATGGATGGGGCGATTCGGAGTGGGGAGAGGGTGGCCAAGGAGATTATTACGACGAAGACGATTGTCTAGGTGGTTTATTTTATGCTGGAGGCGTGGTGGATTGGTAGTTTCGATAATGTGGAATAAAATCAGAGACTGGAATTTGGGTTCATGTGGAGATGTTTGAGTGCTGCTGAGTGGATTTGGAGGGTCGTGTGATGTTGTGCTGTGTGTCGTGTGTGTAAAACACTAGACTGATATCACAACGCGATTTATGCATCCTCCCACGGAGTCCCTTCTCTCCACCACACGCCCCTGAATACATCCACGTCCAACAGAAAACCCAGGTCCATTATACACCTCCCCACCAAAACCCACCCTGCAACGTCCCAACCAAACAAACAAGTTCCACAACCCCTTATCCTCCAACATTCCCTCCACATCTACACATTTCACTCATATCAACTTCACCCCATCCACACAAACAACATACCATACCAACTCCCTCCTCCCTCTACAAGAAAACAAGCCCCACCCATCCCATCTCCCAGATAAACCCCGCACCATCACAGAAAAACGCCAAACAACGCGCCAAAAGAATTCTGCAAGTTGTATTATCGTATCCTCACCATCCCCCATGTAATCACACTCTACCAATCTCTACCAAACCAAAAAGGCAGGGGACGGGGAAGGGGGAAACGTATGCAATCCCAACCATCCAACCGCGAGGATCAAACTCTAGGCATACCGGTAGTGCTACCAAGGACACACGCAACACTAGCAAAAAAAAAAAACCCCCCCCCCACCAGAAAAACAAGGTTGGAAAAATTTCGCAAGTCACGAGTAGTACAAATAATACGCTCCAGACCCCCTGCCCTTCCCCGCATATACAATCCAGTCCAGTCCAGTCCAGCACAATCCTGCACACTGCAAAACCCGTACCTATCCCAACAACCCAAAAAGACAGCCTACCACAACCTCCACCTCATCTCGTGCATAGCTAGATGGAGCCGCGTCAGCTAGGGCGAGGACGGAAGCGGGTTAGCTTGTTGTTGTTGTTGTTGTTGTTGTTGTGAGGAGTTGTAGAGGTGTTGGTGTGACTACAAGTATGACTACGACTACAGGCATAGGGAGAGATGGGGGGAGGATGGGGGGAGATGGGCGATTCACGGCATGGGGGTGTGAGATGTGATGTGTGATGGATAGGGGAGGTTGATGGATGGAGAGGGAAGATTGGTGGAGGATGGTGGGGTGAAGGGGGGGGGAGCATGTGAATGTGGATGTGGATGTAGATGTACAAACAAGCGGATTTGAAAGTCATAATCAACTACCGGTACCGTCTGGGGAATCCAAGAGGTCCGAGATTTTCTTTTCTAGAAAATTTGTTTGAATGTGAATAAGCAATATTCGCTACTTCCCCCAATTCATTTTATGCATAATTCAAAGTCAAAATAAAAAATCAAACTCTAGGCGGAGGGGGTGGGAGATGCGTTTCCGAAATCCCAACCTCACGCCGACAAGTGATGTAATCATAGACTCCATCTTTGGGGCTGCGAAAAAAGTCCGGCCTGCTGTCGACCCAAGCTCTCAAAGACAAGTGATTTGTTTGAGAGAACGATAATTGGTAGAGTATCAGCCAAGTTTTTCGAGTATGATCAACAAGGACGCTGGGTTTAAAAGACCAAAAGACGGGAATGATGATCGAGGATAACATTTGGGTAATGTGCGGGTCATTGGAAGAGACCAACATACCACAAGAAGTAGCATGTTAGATTAGTATTGTTAGCCCACATGCAAAATTGGTACGCATTCTTTCAAACGTCATGGATGCACATTGGAGATTTCGAATTGTCGAAAAAGCCTTGGCAGCCGATATCATCTTCGAGAAATGAAGGTCTGGAGCTCAACATTGCTTTGCACGGTTGCCTTTTTGCTAGTGCGTGGACAAAAAAAAGAGGGATTCGCATGGCAGGATCCGTACAAGCCAATATGCTTCATTTGTGGGACGTGAACGAAGGCTGCACTAAACCCGCCCTGTCGTCCAGGTTGTTTGGTGGTGTTTCCCTGTGTGGCCAACCATGGGGGGTGAAACACAATGTATATACCGGAGAAAAGATGCGAGTGGTGTCGTGCTACCACCACACAGCAGATTATTAAGCGTAGCAAAGTGTCCTGATCATAGCTTCGAGGTTTCCTAGGGGGCCTTCATGGTGACTCTGGTCCAACACACATAACGACTGTCTCCTAGCTACAACATGATTGATTTCCATAAGCGAGGTTGATTGTCAGCCCATGCTAAAGCTTGGCTACAGCAGAGCATGAATTGGCCTGGTTCCGGTCGAGGCTTCCGCTGCTCGTCGCCGCTTCGAGCCAGATGTCTAGCTCGGTCCGGGAGGCTGCATTGGAATGCACCGGGCCGGGTAATTGAGTCGCACAAGACCCGTATGTTCGTCACAGATCTTCAAGCCGTTGAGTTGTGACTCTCACCGGAGCCTGACATGACAGCTGCAGATAAGCGTGCCTGAGGACTGTGTTCGGCCGATGTCGGCAGCTCAACGTAGACAGCCGTACAACGGGCTGTGTGTTGCCTACACGCACGGGTAGTAGGACATGAAGCCTCTTGTCCGGTCTGTAGTCGTACTACAAAGGCCTACGAGTGGAGGAGAATGGGGTTTTCTGACTGAGCTCCCTTGTTGAGGGTCGAAAAGCATGCGTCTGACAAAGCGTATGGGTCTACCTTGGTATTCGACGGAATCACGGGGCTGATTGTTGAGATCAATGGCTGCATTGTAAGGGAACTCCCGTCAACCATGATGATCCTTCGTTTCTGCCACTGGGAGTGTATCCAAGAGATCCCATGTCGCTACAGCTCGGAACTCCAGACCGTGGTACTGAGCACAAGCATCGCTCGTTGCCGCCATCAGATCTGAGACAGAGCGGGAACCTCCGTCACACATGCTTATTGTGTGCTGGGTTGCACACCCTAGAGGCACTCATCCGTGATGCCTCAGGCGACGGCGGGCGACTGTATGGTACTGTTGAGGATGTGGGCGGTGGAAGGCGAGACTCTGCTCGAAGAGACTGTTAGTTTGCGTCTGAGACAAACGTAGTCCTCTTGAGGTACCGTGGGCGAGCACGATGTTCGGTACAGTCGACGGTGACTTGCATCAACCAAAGCCGACGGCTGATCGGTGGCCAGCGTCATAGACCTTGGATGGATATCGTCAATATGGTCATGTCGGTTTGATCTTTCTCGTTGGCGCCTGGAAGTCATTGACTTGTACCAGGTATCCAGATATCCAGGTATCTAGGTCCCCAGGTCTCCAGCGGATGAGACAGGTGGAATACCTTGCACCCGAGTGCATTGGCCCGTGATCACGTGACCTGATAACTAAAAGGGAGACGGCCCAACTCCCACATGCAGTACCTAAGTACATACTCACACCACCTGACACAAATCCTGGCCGTATGGGTCGTTGTCGAGACCTGGGCTACTCCAAGTACACTCGCAGGCTAGTAGCATAGAGCCAGCATTCGATTCTGCGTCTTGACGTACGATCAGCTAGGCGAACACCCCATTCCTGGTAGCCTAATTACTAAGCCCGCCCACACACTGCAGGGACAAAATTGTGGCCGGCGAGCATGCCAGCAGAATTTCAGCCTCCGTTCCTGTTGGCAAGATGCAGCCAGCCAGCACTGACACCAGAGTACGCTCAATCATGGCCTGTTTGCCTCGCTTGGGTACAATAGTACTCTTGTTTGAGCCGTCGCACTTTGTGTTTTGTGAAGATGCTCACTGCGCGTGCTGTGCAACCAGACCATGTAGGCAGATGCAGAGTAGAGCGTCATGGTCAGAGCTGAGAGTGTGGTCGGTTCCTGTACGTCTGGCTCAATGGAGACTACGGCTGCCACTTTGGAAATTCATCGTGTAACCCGCAATGAGCCATCGTTCGAAGCCCAGCGGGCTGGCGGGCCTTTTGCTTCCGGCCACGGCGGCCACCCATCGTTGCGCCATGCCTGATTGTTGCCGGGCACAGAGAGAGGGAGATTCAGTGCAGCATCGGACGCGTTGCCTCGATCCTTGAGCAAGACAGAGGAGATGAGGGACCATGTTTTGCAGGGTCATGTACATCGTAGGCCCATGTCCATCTATTGCATGCAGCGTGCGTTTTTCGGTGGCGCTGGTCCTGGAGGCGGGAATGGCAGGTGACCATCATGTGTTGGGAGCTAGAGCCTATGTAGAGGGATGCCGGAATCTGCAATCTCACCATCAACAAGACACGATGACGGGAAAAGAGCGACTGTGCACGCCAATCCCCCTCCCCCCTCCCGAGGTCCCTCCTCCGCCAAAGGGCCAAGTGCACGCCCAACCATGTTGCTGCAAACAGCTCGCAGCAGGACTCCGGTACACCTCCTGCGACGACTGGGTATTGTGCTTCTTTGCACGTGGACGGCATCTGGCACATTCCAGGACACTCAAACAGAATTCTCTCTTGGGATGTACTGTGGTAGCTTACCACGGTGGCAGCAGTAACAGCAGCAGTACCTAGAGTAGCAGCAAGAATAAAGCGCATGAGGTGAGGACCAGCAGCATTGACCGACATAGAGCCTGTCGTGCAAATAAAGACGTGCTGTGATTGCTCAGCGTCCCAGACAGCTTCCATGCAACTGCAGTACACACATACTACATACTATGATACAGTACCTAGGCCCCCCCTGTGCCGACGGCCGGCCTTCCCTGGGGCGATGGTCGACCGAACTGTTGAGATGGGGTTCATTTGGTAGAGCTGGGGAACTGGGGAGCTGGGTGAGCGGGCGAGCGAGTGAACGAGGACTGGGAAGGGACCCATGGGCGTTCAGATGGGTTGTCGCGTCTGTTCTTAGCGAGATCGATCCATTTGATCAGATGCGGATGCGGTTGGCCGGCTCGAGGCCTGTGTGTATGTGAGTGTGCGTGTGCGTGTGCGTGTACGTGTGCGTATGAAGTGGTTTGTGTGTGTGTGTGTGTGTGTGTGTGTGTGTGTGTGAAAGTCAGTCGACCCCACTTGGCAGCCGCCATGATCTACTACTATCAAGTAACGAGGATCTATCCAGGCACCAATGTGCAGTCCTACTGTGTAGACTGGTAGACTATCTACTACTCTACTTGCACCTAGGCTGTAGGGTAGGTACCGGTACATGCAAACCACCAGCTATTAAAGCCATGCACTGCAGCCGCAAGTCTTCGATGTGGTAAGACTGCAGCATGATTGGCGGGTGCCTCCGCCACGCGCCAGCGGCAACGAGTGGATTTTCCCCCTACTAGGAAGCAGCAGCGTGACGGCGTGTTGGGAGCTTGGGGGAGCTTGGGACTGGGAGCCCTGGAGCGTCCCGACAGTAGAGTAGAGCGAGCCTCTCGAGCCTTGAGGGGAGAGTACTACCGTAGAGAGCTAGCACTTGGCAACCGAGAGAGAGAGAGAGAGAGAGGCAGAGAGAGAGAGAGAGAACTCTGGTCGCTCACGTGCAGCCAGCCTCCGCGCCGTCCAGGGCCTCACCAAGAAGGGGGCCTTTCAGGGCTGCAGTGCAGTGCAGTGCAGCTGGCTTGCTGGCGCTGCTGCACATGGTCATAATTTCAATTTTGCAAAAAAAAAAAAAAACAGAGTGAGCGCCTAGAGGGTGCCACCGACTGTCCACGCGTGTACAAAGAAAAAAAAAACGCCGCATTGCATTGCTAACCCTCGTCGATAAATCACCATCTGATGGTGATCGCTCAGGGTACCTGGCATCATTGCCCAAAGAGACGTGATGACATGACATGTTCCCATGTACGATGTAGCAGCCAATTCACGCATTGGCATTCGCATGGGAAAGACGGCCTTCTAACGGCCTAGGTAGGTATTGACTGACGACTGACTGACTGACTGGCTGACTGACTGACTGACTGACTCACTGACTGACTGGCTTGTTACTTGGACAAAGCCTCTTGCAGTGTGTGGTGAATGTGGTGTGTGTGAGTCGTGACTGCCCAGAATACGCCGCCCCCCCCTTCCCCCGACCCCTGGCCTGAGGGCTATTGGGCTGCCGTGCGCTCGTGAGGAAGCTGCGCCCGGTGACGTCTGTTCCCAGCAAAGGAAAGCAGCGACCCGCTGTTCGCACCTGCCTACCACCAGTCTGAAGCAGCCTCGCCTCGCAAACTCGCGCCTGCCCTACTCACCATCATCATCATCATCATCATCATCATCACCACCACCATCATCACCACAACCATCAGTGCCACTACCAATAAGTAAAAGCTTGCGGCACACGTTACTTTACCGTGTACCAGCCCACGGTCTGCTGCGGCTGCTCAGTGTTTGCATTGATGTAATGGCACCAGACTTTCTCTTCCCTTCGCTTCCAACGCCTTGTCGCTCGTTCGCGGCCAAGGGCAAGTAAGCTGGGACCTAACTGCACCGGAGACGCTGACCTACGAGCTGGCTGTGAAGCGCAAGCCTTCCCTTCATATCACGAGGCCCAGTTAGTTAAACGCGGCTAGTGTCCGCCCCGCCTTCTGCAACTGCATCACCGTCCCCTCTGCCTCTCCCCATCTACCTGCCTCTCCTACTTTGATCCTCACGTTCAATTATTTCACTGCCTCTTCTCTTCCACTTCCACCGCTTCCGTGTGCATCTGTCCCCGCCGTGCAGCCTCGCAGTCCAGCTGCATCGGCCTTGCTACCCAGCCCCCTCCTCCCAAGCCACCCACACACACACACACACACACATACATACACACACCCTCTTGCACCACCGTCACGCGCAGACTCCCACAGCCCGCACACAACCTCCCACCTAATCCCCACCCTGCGCCCTGCACCCTGCACACTGCTTGCCCACAACGGCTCCACGCACCCACGCCGCGCCCATCCTCACCACCCCCTACGCCAGCACACCCCGCCGCTTGCTCATTTGCAATCCGCGCATCGCTCGGCGGACCACCCTGTTGACGCATACACCAAACAATGAGCCAGAACCGGCCATCGGCCTTCTCGTCACTAAGAATGGGTGGTAGGTATCATCATGTCCGTCCATCGCCGTGCCCATGCTAACTGGCAGCGCAGAAGTTATCCGCGAAAAGGTCCAGGACGGCGTCACGGGCGACTACAAGGATCTCGCATATACGCAGTGCAAGATTGTAGGCAACGGCTCCTTTGGTGTCGTCTTTCAGACAAAACTGTCGCCCAGTGGGGAAGATGCTGCCATCAAGCGCGTCCTGCAAGACAAGCGCTTCAAGGTATATTTCGCGCACGCCAATGGCTCGCTCCTTGAATGGCGAATGACGACTGACACTCGCCCAGAACCGCGAATTGCAAATTATGCGCATTGTCCGACACCCCAACATCGTCGAACTCAAGGCCTTCTTCTACAACAACGGCGAGAGGGTATGTGTCCACAGGCAACCAGCTCCCCTTCCCATCAGATCAGCTAACCGGTTCAGCCACAGAAAGACGAGGTGTACCTGAACCTTGTGCTCGAATATGTGCCTGAGACCGTCTACCGCGCTTCCCGCTACTTCAACAAGATGAAGACGGTTATGCCAATCCTCGAGATCAAGCTCTACATCTACCAGCTTTTCCGCTCTCTCGCCTACATTCACTCGCAGGGCATCTGTCACCGCGACATCAAGCCTCAGAACCTCTTGCTGGATCCGTCGACGGGCGTACTGAAGTTGTGTGATTTTGGCAGTGCAAAGATCCTGGTGGAGAATGAGCCCAATGTCTCGTACATTTGTTCCAGGTACTACCGCGCGCCAGAGCTCATCTTCGGGGCCACAAACTACACCACCAAAATTGGTAGGTTCTTCCGACCCATGCGCTAGGCAGACTTGTTTTCTAACCCCGGTTCTTCTAGATGTTTGGTCAACAGGCTGTGTCATGGCAGAACTCATGCTAGGACAACCGCTGTTCCCCGGTGAGTCGGGCATCGACCAGCTGGTCGAGATCATCAAGGTCCTTGGCACACCCACCCGGGATCAGATTCGAACGATGAATCCCAACTACATGGAGCACAAGTTTCCTCAGATCAAGCCTCATCCGTTCAGTAAGGTACGTGCTGTGTGTCTATTCCCTTGAGAATGTGATTCGCTTACTAACTCCAGTCCAAGGTCTTCCGGAAGGCTGATCCTCAAGCGATCGATTTGATTTCGAAGCTGCTCGAATACACTCCAACCCAGCGATTGTCAGCCATCGATGCCATGGTACACCCCTTCTTCGATGAGCTTAGGGATCCCAACACTCGATTCCCTGACTCCCGTCACCCCAACGGAGCTACCAAGGATCTTCCAGAGCTGTATAGCTTCACGCATCATGGTAACTAATGCCTGCATGCACATGGGTTGCGCTCTCGGCTAACACAATGTAGAACTCTCCATTGCGCCTCACCTCAATCAACAATTGGTGCCTCCCCACATCCGCCCGACTCTGGCCGCCCGTGGCCTGGACTTCGAATCGCCGAATTTCAAGCCATTGACCAAAGACCAGATGATGGCTCGGCTGGATTAAGCCCTGTACATCATTCATGCGAAACGATACCACTTTTTTCATGTCGCGTGGCTTCTGATCCTCCCCGCACACAAGCAACAGGCTTATGGTCCGGGGAGACGCAAAATGGAGTCTCAAATGGGCGTCGGATTTTTGGGTGTGTATATCACGATGTGTACGCCTTTCCTGCTATATCTGAGCGCGCCTGAAATGAAACCGACATTCACGTTTCCAAAGAATGACCTGGCTTGTTTTCTCTCCTGGACTGTTGGCCTGCCCGTCATGGTAAACACTCACGGACCGGCACCGTCGTTAACTTTTTTCTGATTTCAAATGGTAAAGACGATCGACGAGCGCAGATGGTATCAGGAAGAAATGGGTCGAGGGACTAGCAAAATCCTTGAGATACTGTGCATCAGCCTCTTAGGGTGGGATTTGGGCTGTTAGGGTTTTCACGGGACTTCAGCATAGGGTTGATTACCCTAGCTTTTGCATGCAGGAGTTATCTTTGTTCAATGTTTTGTTGGTTGCATGGGATATGATGGGACTCGGCTACCATGGTTCAAGTTTTTGGTGGATCGTGTCGACCATCTTACGAATGGGCTGACGCAATCGATGGAGTGACAATCTGTTTGAGTACCGGTTGACCTTTGGAGAACATCTGCGGACTACTGGACCATGGCCAGGCTTAAAGCGAAGTCTTATGCTCATGTACTCACGGGACATGTTCGTGAGCTCCGTATGGGCACACAACGATGCTTTCAACGACAGCGTAGATGACGATCGTTCCCCCAACCCCTAAGGATGACTTTAATTTCTTCATTTCAGTTGCGTCATGGTTGATCGTGATGTATAATTCAATCTCTTCTTGTGACATGACTATTTGCCCCGTAACTAATCAATCTAGCACAAAATTGGTTCAATCTTTGACATGATACACTGTTTTGTGGTTACAGCAAGAAAAGTTTGATCATGATATTCAACAGCTATTGAACCTGGTATCTAGCATTGCACAATACACGACTCAGAGCTGACTTAGTGACTAGGTAAATTTATTCGTCGTATACACAGCATTAGATCCTCAGTCAACGCGTGGGCTACCTTTACTTCACCAACACCCAAGCCCCCGCACGTAGTGAGTTTGCTACAAACGCCTTCTCCCGCAGCACACCTACTTTTCTCACCCTCGTGATAGCCTCATCTCGTTTGCCACCAAGGGCTAGAGAGGTGAGCAAGACCTAGCTATGAGTATATATATATAAAATACATGATACCCCTTGGTGTGCAGCGCAACCTTGTCCTCTGCCCATCCTTTGTATACACACACAGTACGCGAGGATTCTGTTGCCGCCCTCAGAAGGTTCAAGGTCTCTCTGTCTTAGGGTGAGAGTTGGAAAAGGGTTCGAGGCATAAATTAGGTGAGAGGTGGAAGGAACTAGTCTTCGGGGAGTTATTGAAGAGCTAGAGCAGCTCGCGGGAGAGTTGTTATATCTGACTGCTCTGAGGAGTCGCTTTGTTACTGTCTACGACTTATCAGTGCGGTTGGTTACTGCGGTTCGTCACTACCGCTTATCAATACCGCTCACAAGGCCCAGGGCTTGATTCGAAGAACGGCAGCATGTCTGGTGCTCATAGGGACATGAGACTGATAGATATTGACTTCGTTCCCGCAGATTGCGAGGCCATGGTCGATCATCCAGTGGTTGATGTCGATACAGACAGGATGCTGATAGACATTGGTTTTGTCCCCGCAGAGCGCAAGGCCACACTCGATGATCCAATCGTTGCCGACTTCCAATCCACAGCGAATCCAAGCTGCAAAGATGTGCCCATGGCAAACACCAATGACGACGTCCCGGGACCTGCAACGCGCCAAGCCAACACTAACCATACCCCCGTCCACCCCGACCGCGACTGCAACGCCGCTCACATTTCCACGTCGCAACCCCCGACCAAACCAGACCATCGCCGAAACCGCAGCAGATACCACCCCAATCCCAAGACCGATCGCTGGCGCCCAGGTTTCCCTACATCGCGAAGCAAACCCTACCTCGATCTCGACGACGTCCATACCGACCCTCGTCGTCGTCGTTGTCTTCTCAGCCCATTGCGACGCAGCAACGGTTCCCCGGAGACGGTAAAGCACGAGGCAGGTGCGCAGCTTGTCGCGGCCATGGCGGATGTAGATATCAAGGAGGAGCGTGAGGATAGACGCGATCGAGGTGGTTACCGCGGGGGAAATAATAAGAGGCGTCGTGATGGTGAGTATAGCTTGTGTTTGCGCGCATTTCTTTTGCACATGCGATGGAGGTGGCAGGGGATGATTATGACGACTGTGAGAACTTTTGCAGGTGCGCATGACGACTGCAAGAGCTTTTGCGAGTGCTCATGCATGTCTGCACAGCTATTTGCGTGTTCTCCATCCGCCTTGCAATAGCCACCTTTCCCTCAGTGAGTCCGGCGAGGCAATGCTGACAGGGCCTTATAGATGATGGCGGCGACCACTACCGCGGTGACGACCGTCGTGGACCACAGAAACGCCGTTACGATGATGCGCCACGCCGCCGATACGAAGAACCGCCATTCCCTAAGCTTCGAAGGCTCCTGCTGAACATTGCAAGCTCTACCAAGCTGCCCCAGGATGAGGCCAAGGAGATTGCAACGTACCTTGGAGAACACTTCGACGATGAGCGTCTACGTTCAGATTTTTTCGATGTCTTCGTTCAACTGTAAATACCCAGGGCACCATGCAGCCTTGACCACTTTGCTGACATTACCTAGCATCATTGAGCAGCCCTTCAAGATCCCTTTCATCGCGGCAGTTGCCTTGTACGGAAACAAAGTCAAGCCAGAGATCATGGTAGAGGCCATGAAGCGCGTTGGGGACCGAGCTCAAGAGGCTCTAAATGCTGGCGAGTGGAAGGAGTTCAAGCTGGCTCTAAGATTCTTCGCTTGCCTACAGTCACTGTACGAGGGAGACGGCGTCTTCACCTTCCTAGGACAATTATTCGACACAGTGGTGGACCTGCAGAGTGCCAATGAAAATGATGTAAGTATCTCGAAGTGGGCTTTGTTCCTGTACTAACATGTACACAGGTCGTCGGTATCGAAATCGTCAAGATCATCCTTCTCACAATTCCGTACGCATTGGTCTCCGGAGGAGAGCGCTTCCACGAGCACGCTGAACAGCTACTGAAGAACACTGGCATCGTTGCAGACAACGTACTCCCGATTGAAGGGTTGATTCACTCCTACGTTGGTGACTTCGAGTCAAAGCCAGTCGACTACCACAGCGTCATTGGACTCCTACAGGCGCAACTTCTAAATGAAGCTGAGAATGGCTTTGAAATTCGATGCTTGCCACGTTTGGAACTGAATGTCCCGTCATCGGATGAGACCGCTGGGCAAGACTCATTGCCCACCGCGCCTCAACTACATGCCTTCCCGACCTTCACCATTCCCTCGCCCGTCAACCCTGGTCCTCGACCTGTTTTCCCGGAAGCTTACTTCTCCCTTTTCGCTGATCAGGAGGTCGACACTGTTCCCAAGACCACTGACATTGCTTCGTCACTAATCCGTGACGCCATTGTTGATACCATCAACCAGCTCGACTTCAACCGCGAAATGGTAGCCAAATTTCTGGTCGATGTTGACAGCTACTGGACGATTGGCATCTTTGCGAAGCGTGGTACTCCATTCGACAAGTTCCGTGAACTCGTTGGAGACAAGATCCAATACAAGTCTGAAGACATGATCATTGACGCAATCTTCTCGCAGTTGTTCAAGCTGCCCAGCGCAGAACACAAGCTTGTCTATTACCACTCTCTCATCACACAGTGCTGCAAGGTCGCTCCTGCCGCTATCGCGCCGTCGCTTGGACGTGGTATCCGTACGATTTACAAGAACTTGCCCATGATGGATCTTGAGCTAGGCTACCGATTCTTGGACTGGTTCTCGCATCACTTGAGCAACTTTGAGTTCCGATGGAGATGGACTGAATGGTGTGTTCACTTGATAACAGAGACGAATGAAATGCTAACTACTGCGCAGGCTCGATGATCTCGAACTCTCAAATCTGCACCCGAAGAAAGCCTTCATCCTGGCGGTTCTCGACAAGGAGATTCGTCTATCGTTTGCAAAGCGAATCCGATCGACTTTGCCTGAGCCAATGCACTCTTTGATTCCCGAGCGTCTCGATGCTGATAACAGCCCTGACTTCAAATACGATGACCCGCGTAAGTTGTGTCCAACGCCCTTGATGAAGGTTCTCGACTGACGAGTGAGCATAGAAACACCCTATTCCGCCGAAGGCCAGAAACTTCTCCAGCAACTTAAGAAGAAGGCTCCTGCTGAAGAAGTTCAGAGCACCATCGACAAGATCCACGAGCAGGCTCTCGAGCAAGGTGTGGCCGAGGTCCTTGTACCTTCTACCGATGCATTTGTCACTGCGATCTGTAGAATGGGCGCCAAATCACTGTCCCACGTCCTGTCCTGCATCGAACGTGGCAAGGACCGCTTACTTGAGATTTCTCAGAACGAGGTAGCCAGGCGGCAGATTGTTGCTAGTGTGGTGGAGTACTGGAAAGACCAGCCAGGTGTTGCCGTTCGCATCATCGACATCCTGCTCAACTACACCATCCTTGCACCCATGACCGTCATCCAGTGGGTGCTTGGAAGCCACATGGGAGCTGGTGAGGCTCTGACGGAGAGCTGGGTCTACGAGATGGTTTCCAACACGGTCGCAAAGGTTACCAACCGCAATCGACAGATCGCCTCCGCCCGACTGCAAAAGGGCCTTCCTCAGGAGCAGATTGAAATGGTCGAAGCCACTCTAGCCAAGGACCGGGACAATGCTCGCGAGCTCTTCAAGTACATTGAAGATTCGATGCGCGGCGTGGCTGAGGGTTCTGCAGATGTGCTGCTCGAGAAGCAAACTAGCGGCGCGCTGACAGAGGAAGAGGTCGAGCTCATCAAGGCATGGGGCAAGCGCTGGCACACCGTCTTCATCCGCAAGGCTCAGGTCGAGGAGTCTGTGGTTGGCGAAGAAGCTGTCGAGGCGAGGGTCAGACTTCTTGCTGCAGAGTCAGATGCTGCTGCGGAGAGCATGGATCAGGGTGGTGACGGTGTTGCCGAGGCTACCAATGGCGAGGCGCAAATGTCGGTCAACTAGACCATCTGCCTGTGTATCTCAAGGGAGGTGGCAGTTAGTTTGGAAAACGTGCGGGGTGCGAATTACTTTGGCTATGTTTTGGGAGGCTGGCATGGCGAGGTCTCTGAGATGGTGAAAATCGGCCGGGTCGCAGCGATAGTGTAGCAGCACATCGAGAGGTACCAGATGGGATCAAGTTTTGTCTATGAAGTAGTCGTGTATACGCATTCGTCTTGCATCATGGCTGCCTATTTCCCCTACCTCTGCTATGTATAAAATATGCTTTCGACTCGACTACTATTTGCATTGCCATGGATCACCCGTGCTTGCTTTCGAGGTTTGCTTCAGTCGTCCATCAGAGCACGAAAGCCGGAAGTCAGGCGATGCGCAGTGACGCGTTTAGCGCCTCTCATCATTCCCCACCACGCCCGGATCGCATGTGGCCGTCATGTGAAGGCCCGCAAGCTTGCGGGACGAGAGAACAAGCCTGCCATACGGCGGCCATAGCCCAACTGCAAGTGCCAGTACCAAGTGCTACCAGTCCGACACTCGCGCCGCTTGCGAAAAAACAACAACAACAACAACGACAGCATGTCGTGGTCCCGTATCCCATTTCGCTGTCTTCTCGTTTAGTGTTTCCTTTTTCCGCATCTACCGTGGAATTGCGCGGTTCTCTTGGAGTTCATCAGTCTCTTGGAGGCGCATCAAACGCCTGCTGCGCTTTGCACCACCCCCCCACGGTTCTCTCGGGCTCGGCGACGGCGCCAACGAATAGGTACCTACCGTCACCGTTCGACAAACGAAAAGGAAGCGATTACGATGCATATACCATTGCCCAGCTCCGTTGCTGCTGGCCCGGCGACGGCGAATATAGATTTTACGCGTACATATCCTAATGTCGGCTATGTGATATCAAAAGAGCAGGGCGGGGGCGGAGGTGGAGGAGCTGGATACACTGAGAATTGGAGCAGTCTGATTGGCATCATCACTGCTATTGTGGGCAATGTGCTCATTTCTTTTGCACTGAACATGCAGCGCTACGCTCATATACGACTGGACCGTGAATGGCAGGAGAAAGAACGTCTACGCAAGAAGAGGAGTGCTTCCAGTGCCAGTCTAGCACAACTGTCGTCCAGAGGGAATGGCAAAGACGGAAAGATGGCAGCTCGGCCAGGCGAAGATGTGGTAGATGCTTCGGAATCCGATGCCCTGTTACCACGGCCATCGATGGCAAGAGAAGGCAGTGACGACACTTCTGCTTCGGGCGAAGAAGAGGCTTACAAGCACAAGTCCTATCTCAAATCCCCCTACTGGTGGCTCGGCATAATCCTCATGACCATTGGCGAAGCAGGCAACTTCCTCGCCTACGGCTTCGCGCCCGCCTCCATTGTTTCGCCGCTCGGTGTCGTCGCACTCATCTCCAACTGCATCATCGCACCTTTTATGCTCAAGGAGCCGTTCCGCAAACGCGACGCACTCGGTGTGATAATCGCCGTGGGAGGTGCGGTTACAGTGGTGCTGTCGGCAAACAGTAGTAATCCAAAGCTGGGGCCGGATGAGATTTGGCATTTGATTACGAGGTGGGAGTTTGAGACGTATTTTGGCATTACGGCGGGGGTCATTATTGCGTTGATGGTGGCGAGCAATCGCTTTGGGGAGAAGAGCGTATTGATTGATCTGGGGCTCGTTGGGTTGCTCGGTATGTTGAAACACCGTGATCATGGAAGAGACTTGCTAATGATGTGACAGGAGGATATACTGCGTTGTCTACCAAAGGTGTCTCGTCGTTGCTCTCGTATACACTATGGCGGGCTATCACTTTCCCAATCTTCTATCTACTGGTTGCCATACTCGTTGGTACTGCCATCATGCAGATCAAGTATGTCAATCGCGCTCTACAACGTTTCGACGCAACCCAAGTGATCCCGGTTCAATTCGTGCTCTTCACACTGTCCGTCATTGGTGGCTCAGCAGTTTTGTACCGTGACTTTGAACGTACCTCTGGCGAAGACGCCGGCAAGTTCATTGGGGGCTGCGCCTTGACCTTTTTCGGTGTCTGGCTCATCACCAGCGGCCGCCCCAAACAAAACGAGGACGAAGATGAAGACCGCGAACCGGAACCTGAAGATGCCATCAACCTCATCACAGAAGGCTACGCCGACGAAGTAGCCAATATGAGCGAAAACAGCGCAGCAAACACCCGTCGATCCTCCACCACCCATCGCCTCTCCCCCTCCAACACCAACAACTTCCCCTTCTATGCCAGCACCGACACTTCCCGCCCCACAACCCCAAGCATAAACATCATCCCAGACGCCACGACATCCTCTCAAAACCACACCCGTCCAGCAACAGCAGAAGACGTCCTCTCCACCCTCATCGCAAACCCCTGGGCCACCACACCCACCGACCCACCATCACCCCGCACCCCACCCTTCAACCGCCACACCTCCACCCCCGTCCTCCCCTCAGAAGCCGCATCCCCAGCTCTCGCCGCCCACTCGGCACCCCCCGATCTCGACCTCCCCCTCCCCCCCTCCAGCACAACCCGCGTCAAATCCGGACCCGAAATCCCCTCGAGAACAGGCTCGGAGCTCCGCCGTCTCCGACTAAACGGAGGACTCAACACCCGCAGCAGCGGCGTATGCGGCGGCGCACTCCGCGCCGGTCGA